TTATTCCGATGGGTGGAAGTTGGACCTGTGGAGTTTGGAAGCGGAAAAATACGGGGTTGGAATTATACATGAGTTTTTTAGCTTGACTTTGGAGAAGAGGGCTTTGATACATCATATTGTGGAGTTTAAGGAAGAGTTTAGTTTGACTAGGCAAACTTACGAGATGCTCAAGAGACAGCCTTGGACGTTTTATTTAGCGGGGACAGATATGAATTGGGCGGTGTTCTTGAAGGATGGGTATGATGACTGTGGTAATTTAATCAATAAAGATCCACTGGTGCTTTTCAATGAAAAGCTTTATAAGTTTGCTCAAATGCAAGAAGAAGAAGAGATTTCGGGATTTCGGGAGAAGTTATGAGCGGATGAACCTTTTTAGTGGTTAACCTTGTGTGAACTTGTTTGTGTATGGTAAAACTAATCTTAAATCGTGTCTCGTCAATAAAACCTTTGAATGAATTGCACTGCCATGTTTTGTTAAATGTGTATTTTTTTTCAGGTATTGTCTACCAGCAAATGTGATTGGGTTCGTATATGTTGGGTTTCAAGCTTATGCTCTAGCTTACTGTCTCATCATACAAAAACATGTCATCACTCATCAGCTATTAATTTGATCAGCATTTTGATTTCTACATGAATCAGGCAAGTTTTTTCGTATATATAAAGTACTCATTGTAATTTAGCCACTTTATCTTCAATCTTAGTCATTATTCACCCTGACATTTTGGTTTTCGGAGACGTTTTAATTAGACTTTCCAGTTTTTAATCTGAATGTTTTAGCGGCAATAGATGTGGTTAATTCACTCAAGAATTGTCTTTCTAAGATAAACTTGGGAAGATCGGTTACACAAGAGAAGGGCAAGTTACAATGGGTTGGACCTTGTAGACTGTAACCGACATGAATCCCGAAGCAAAAATATATTTCTATGATCGAAGGAATCGAAACAAAGCTAGCTCGAGGTAGTTTCTCTCATCGAAATTTTTCCCAAATTATTTACTGTTTTCTTCTGATTCATTATTTTATTCAATTATTTATTTGATTTTACTTAGTTTGTTTCATTTTAAATTCGCCTACCACACCTCCCTTTTCTTTATTTTGTTTTGTTACAATTTTTTTTTTTTGACGAAATCAACATAAATCGCATCAAAGATTCCAATATTTTCCTGTGGATTAACCCTCTTCCATTGTTCTACTTTTCACTTATTTATTTTAATTTTTGAAGATGTTTATTTTATTTTGACGAGTAAAACGACGCATGTCACCTATCAGCATTTTAAGTCGAGTAAACTATTGGTTTTTATTTCGACCGATCGGTCCGATTGCGACAACATGAGATTTGATTTGATGGTAGCTAGAAAGCTGGTTGTTAGTTGTTAGTGGTAGGTTTTCATATGGTAAATGATTGAAGGAGACGTTAGGTTTAATTCAGAGAATGGGAATTTATTGAGAAAGACATTAGGTTTATTAATGGGAAGAGATTAGGAATTGTGAGAGGAAAGTGGGAGATTTGGCATATGTTTCCATTGTGCCCTAAAACCATTCTTATGCCAATTGCGTGTATAAAATGACATGTTTAATAGCTTTTATATTTATATTATTTTTTATAAAATATTTGTTAATACCTTAAATTTGGTATTTTTTTAAATTTAGCCCCATTTTTGTCTATCTACTATTTTCTTATTTTTAGTCATTTTGATGATGGTATCATTCAGAATAACACGTCATCAAAATATGATAAATTGTATCACATAAATATATATATATATATATATATATACACACATATATATTTTCACATTTTTTTAAATGTCAACATCCATTTATTTTAAAGATTGCGCATGTTAACATCTACGAATTAATATATAATTAAACAGCTAACCTTATCTAGTCTAGACTAATTTATTTTATTTATTTAAGTTTAGAGGTTCCATGACGATGGGGAAAGTTAAGTCTCTTTTTACTATATAAACTAGTTGTTGAGAAAAGGCAATGACAAGGATGGTTGGTATTTTTAATTAAAGTTAAGGATTGATGGCACATATGTAATAAGAAGTTCAAACAAGGCTGAATAATTGAAAATCCACATCGCGTGGTATTGAAAATCCAATAATAATAAGGTCAAATTCCTTGGTTAGTCCCTTTAAGTTACTGATTTAGTCTTTGTACTCTACTTTGGTCATCTGTAGTCCTTTTCCAATTTTTGAGTTCCAACCTTGACATGAACTATAACTATTAAGTATTAATAATATTAAGTCAAATTTTACTATTAGTTCATGTTTTAAGTTTGATCATTAAACTCGTGTAATTTAGTTTTATTGTTATTGTACATTTTGTAAGGTTCGAAAAGTACCACTAAATTTGGGTACATAATAAACAACTTACATATGGTACAAGGCGTTATGGAATAATTTGACCTAATAAAAATACTTACATCGTATTTGACTTGTCAGCTAACATGTAGTTTCGAGTTTCGACCAATCTATACACGTATATGAAATTTTTTGTATATATAAATCAAGGATGAAGCTACAAGATTTCTCATAGACCAAAATTGAATTATAAATTTTTTAGGGGCAAACGAAGAAATTGTATGGTTATATCAATTTGTAATTTCACACATTTTGAAGGGATGTCAATGAAATTGTAATTTTACATTATATTTTGGGATGATTGCAATAATACCCCTATATAATATTTCTTAATAAATATATTATTTCGTGTCAAGTCGGGTTCATTTTTTATCACAAAAAATCGAATCAGGTTCATGTCAAATAGAATGTGTATATTTTTCGGGTCGAATTCGGATCTAGTGGAAGATTTATAATTTTAGGTCTGATTTCGGGTGAATCAAAAACTCGATCTGACTCATGCTCATCCCTAATTTGGTCTCCATATGCTTGACTCGCTCATTGAATCTTGCCGTTTTGTCGAGCCCAAGTCCCGTGTGGGCCAATCTTCTGTCGAAATTGGCACAAACGTCTTAGCAGGGGAAATTGCATTTTTGACTAGTATGAAGTTATCACTTATGGTCCTCCTTATTCATAATTAAACGTGATTTGCCATTTTGGAATTATCTAAGAAGACGATGCAAAGAATGGCGAGGTGTTTTGGTATAATAAGGTGGATCCCATATCCATTGATTACTGGAATAATGTTCTGGCAGAAACTTCACTTATAATTATGAGATATTGATGTACTGAATATTGTTTTGGTATTTGCACGTGTTCTATGAGGTGATTTTTTTTTATCTCCGCATCGGTTTTCGGTAAATCTTGATTATTCCTGCTAAGCCTAGTTCGATTCCGCACACTCGTCTTAAAATACATATCCCCATTCCACAGGACCTGTTACTACTATTCGTGGAAAGCATAAGTTATGATTGGTATAAATTAACTGGTATAGGTGTGTTCCTTTGACCCGTATGATACATTTAATAGTTTTATCTTATAATATTGTATGTTTCTATATACTAGTATGTTCATGTTATGGTAATGTTTATTTATGATATGTCAGATTCTTTATTGTTATTGCATCGTCTTTAAACTATGAATTAATGTATTTCTGTCATCTGCATAGAATCCTTTACTGAGGATAATAACCTTATTCTGATTCTGTATGTGATTATATCCTAGTCTTGATTTTGTATGAGATTATATCCCTTTCCTGATTCTGCATAGATCATATCCCCGTCCTATTTCTGCATGGGATCCTCTATGGAGGGCAACATACTCGTCATTTTTATGATTTCCGATGAGTTCCTCATTGGAGGTTAAATTTGGCTCCTCTTTAGATGGTAACGTCCCCATTATGATGTTTGTCTTTTACTCTGGATCCACTTTAGAGATATCATGTTCCTCTCAGCAGGTAGTGTTTTCCATTCTGTTCATCTATGCGAGAGGTAGGGTTGTGAGAAACTCTACATGATTTCTTGACAATAAATATCTGGTTATACTGTTAATTATTTTATTATTTTTTATATTTATGCCTGAAATATATGAATCATTACTTGTATTTAGAGGACACGCTGAGCTTTGTAGCTCACTTTGTTTTTGTTTCTATTTTCATATTATCCCTATATATAACATGTTTGGCTATCGGGAAGCAGTCTCGATTTTCTACTGTTCGAGGTTAAATATTTATATTTAACCCCTTTTAACTGTGACATGAGTTTATTTATGATTTTATAATCAATATATGTTTTTAAGATAGTTTATTAAACTAAGATCGTTCATAAACCCATTTTTATGATCAACAAAACTACCCTGATTTAATTGTAAATTTTAGGTCGGGTCTAAGGTTACAGTCGATAAATCTCAAATTTTACTCTAATATTCAATTCGATCTTCCCATTTAATTCATCATATTAGATACTAAAAAATCTCTCTCAAAAGTCATCAAATCACTCATAACTTTTACACTTCTTGAACCTCATTTACGCCATCCATCATTAGATGACCTCCATCTCGGGATATGTTCTTCATCTTGTCAACAACAACCTCTCCGTCGTTTGGATCATCAAATAAAATCCATGATTTTCAAGATACCCAAAACTCAAAATAATTTATTTTTTGATTAATTGAGAGACTCATTTGTGACTTTTTGTAATGGAAAAACCATTTTTAATCTATCTAATAAATGAGTGTCCCATTTATAATCTTACTAATAATTATTTATAATATTCGATTAATTAGGTGTCCTGTTTGTAACCTTTTGAAATTTAATGATACATCTATGATTTTGATAACAATTTAGTGACATGTCAATGTAATTTATCTTTGTAATATTATTTTTGTTGCAAAACATTAAATAAAAACATAACCTATCCTAACAATTAATTAGTTTAGTGGAGTGAAACATTAGATCGTTTATGTAAAATTAGGAGTTCGAATCCTAGTGTTTGCGAATGGAGTAAACTGGATTGAGAGAGTCGTCTTTACTCCTACAGTATCTGATATGAATTAATCAATCAATAAATTCTGCCGAAAGCACAATACAAATATGATTATATCAAAGTTTGAATCCTTGTAATACGATTATATCACAACAAAATACATAAACACAATACAAATCTAAGGCTCGAGATACCGAAAGCACAATACAAATATGATTATAGAGAAAAGTACCAAAACCAAGTCCGAAATAGAATCCGAATAGAAGCTCATCTGTTCTGGCAATTTACCAAAGTTTTTTCTGCAACTGCAAAGTACCCTTTGATGTACAACCAAGAGAGCTTGGCCATATACGATTCCCAAACCTTAGCCTTTTAAATTCTGATGATAATAAAAGTAGAGACCCATAATTTTCTCCAGCTTGTTGTAAGCAAATTCCACTTGAAAACCATCTTCCTTGGCGGAATTGAGCGTGGCCGCCCACTTTTTAAACATGTTAGACATGTCCAACTCCATTTCCTCGACTCTCAAATCTTTCATCTCTTTGATCGTAGCGGAGAGCAGAACACGGATACGCGGATTGTTAATCTGCTTACCGATGTCCGTTTCGATTTTCTTAGCAATGTGTTCTAAGTAATCTGGAGTTTTCCCCCAGCCAGCTTTGTCCAATGCCTCTTGCAAGCCCTCGAAATCTTGAAAACCAACTTTATTGTTCTCTTTGTGAAGAAATTGGTTCTTAAAATTACAAAATTCGGTCTGTGAAGCAACCGAAGTTGATAAACCTCCTTGATCTTGATTTTGATCATCAATTTCTTTGATATCAGATGGTATTCCATAAGCCAACTAAAGCAACAAACATGAAGAAAAAACAAGTCGTCAAAACAATGATATATTAGGAGTGTACAATATTGGGTACCAAAATAGTTAGCCGGTGTCTTGATTTATGATATTCGGGTATCTGCAAGTCGACTATTAGTTAGTTTAGGTAATTGGATACCCTGTACAAATTTTAATTTATTTTTAATAAATTAATCAATTTTAATTTAAAAAAAAATTCAAATAGATAAAACTTAAAAGTTCAAATTACATGATTAAAATATGATTATGACCGCACATGAAAAAAAGTTGATGATACCCTATACATAATATGTATTCAACACTCGCATTCAGGGATGGATTGAGAGGGTTGTTGATGGGGCAGTAGTCATGCTCACACTCAATTTAACCAACTTATAGCTGAAATTGTTTTTTTAACTCTAGCGCATGGGAAAGGACAGAATTATAATGTGATTTATAGATGTTCATCTTTTTCAAGAAATAATACTACTACGTTGCTAATAAAAATGATAAGAAATATACATACCATATTATTATTACTATCAAGGAAGAATGGTAGAAATTTGCTTGTTTTTTCATCAATTCTTTCCGTTTCCTGAAAAAGAAAAAAAAAACAAGTTATAAAGTTAAATCGAGAATTTAGTCCATGAAATCAAATTTCTATTAGAATTGTGAGCAGTAGCATACCTGAAGGATTTGTTTATACATCTTTCTTGCATTTTGCAAATCCTGAAATTTGGAGATTTAGATAATGAAATCAAAATTTCACAGTGAGATTTATGGGGAAATAGAATACCAGAAGGAATTTATTTAACTCCTCGTTTTCCATTTCGATCAATCTCTGCTTGGCCGCAGCTTCTGTTAATTTACCATCCTTGGGTATCTTCGTGATAACTTGTTTAATCCTTTGGATTTCTGCTTCCGTAGCGTCCATATCTTTCATGAATTTCTGGATTTCAGCTTCCGTAGCAATCATATCTTCCATAAATTTCTGGATTTCTGCTTCAGGAGCACCCGTATCTTTCATAATTTTTTGGAGTTCGGCTGCCATTGACCATTGCGACTTGATATGGTTGTGGGTGCGGAGTAAATTAAGTTGTATCTCCCTCACCTTACAATATAGAGACGGTGTCATATATGTGAACTGAATGTGAAGTACTAAGTTCAGGTAAGAGATTTTACGCTCTTCATCCTATGGTTGATTCGATCTATCAAAAGTTTCACACTTTTCTTCACAGTTAAATGCCTGATTTCCTCGGCGTAAGCCGATGTTTCCTTCTTCGTTTTTGCTGGTTCCCCGGAAGTTGACGATTCACCGGTAGAATTGGTACTCCGTCTCCTTGGGCGTTTTCCTTTGGCGTCCGATAAGTTAGGAGAAACTACTTCCGGATCTCTTTTCCTGCTCGACGAGTTCTCCTGATTATCACCGATCGATATCGGTGGTTCGTTCGCTCTGGGTTGTACTTCGAATGGCGCATTATCAGGCTGTTGAACTTGAAGCTCTCCTATGGGAGGGAAAACATGATCCAAATCCATAATGGGACTATAAATAACTATGTCCCTCCAGAAATCGTCATGGCTCATCTTGAACGGATCTGAAAATTTCTAAATAACTGAAATGAAAACAATCAAAATCACCAACGGATTCTTCCGATTCAGATCAAAAATAGAAAGGAACAGACAAGTCAACAGCGCCAAATTGAAAGGAACAAGCAAGTCAACGGCACCAAATATCTTCCAAAACAAAGTATACAAAACTACAAACTAACAAAAGAAACTACCAGTAAAGGAAATTGTGCAAAATCCAAAGCAAGATTATGATAGATCATAGATGAATTAGTAGATTCACTAGAAGAACTTAACTGCTTTGGCGTAGTGAAGAGAAGATGGGAAAAGGGACAGCTGCCGAAGAGTAGAGCTCATGAAATGAAGAAGGGATTCATCATTCATTGTTGGGGGTTTTACTTACAGGCCAATTCCCATTTTGAGCAATGCGCGAGACAGAGAGTTCGCTGTTATAATATGAAGCGCGAAGACTCTTTACTTCAACATGATATACGGCTGCGATTTGAGTTTATTTTTTATGAGTAAATTATAGATTTCACCACACAACTTTCTTTTCACTCTTAATTTCGGCACTAAAATTTTAAAATTTTCAATTTACAAAAGGGCTTTCGATATTCTCCTATCTTGATCACTCTGCCATGAAATGCTTACGTATTATTATGACCGGATACTTTTCTTTTAAAAAGTATGAAATGATCCCAATTTTTTTCATTTTTTTTTGAAAAAACCTGTAGTTTTCGAATTCTCTTTGATCTCTCGATAATGAAGCATATTCTTTCAAATCTCAATGGCGGAAGGTGGAGAAGGAGGAAGTGAGTTTTATATCTTGATTCCACACTGATTGGATGGTGGATATTATAGATCAAAGTGATTAGGGATTTTATGAGTTTTGTGTTTAAATTTGAGTTTTAAAGTGATTTAGGTTAAAAAAATGAAACTGAAAAAATGATAAGAGACAATAAAGAGAATTTGCAGGTATCTTGAGTGTTCGGAGAAGATGCCGAAGAATGATAATTGTAACATCAGCATTACATAAAGATATATTTGTAAAACTTTTATCTTTGAAAGAAGAATATAAAATAAAAAAGAAAAATGACATGGATGACACAAGAATTCATGTCAATGAAAAATCGTCCACATCACCACATATATTTGCCATGTCCCCTTTCCATTTTAAATTAGCCCCCATTAAGGAAAATATTTATATAGAGGGGGAATAATACCAAAATAGTAACATTAGTCTTTTTTTTAGAACATTTTGGGGTCCAACATTTTATTTTAGAATAAAAAGAACCCTCCGTAGATGGAAACCGTTAACGCTTCAAAATAAGGGTCCTTTTACCCTAAAATAAAATGTTAGGTGTCAAAATGTTTTAGAAAAAAAATAAGGATAAAAGTGACTAGTTATCAAATGTTAGACATAAAATGTTGAGAGGTAAAAATATTCCAAAAAATGAGTATGAGCTAAAATGACCATTTGATAAATGTTGTAGGCTAATTTTGATATTATACCTATGGAGGGTTTAAGAGTTTAGCGCACACCGCTTGAAATTCACTTCCATCACATCAAACCCTTGAATAGGATTGTAAATGAGACGAGACAGATCATGACCTACTCGAGATTGAGTCAATCAAAGTTTAATAAATACTTGACTTGATCTCGAGCTCGACTTGAGTTTTTAACAAGTCGAAATGAGCTACTTGATACTCGACTCGAAAAGCTCGTGAGCAGCTCGAAAATATAATTTAATAAGATTTTATATTTAAAAAAAATAAATTATTAATAATATTAACATTTACTTGTTGACTTTTTTTTAAATGCAGTATAAAGTTTTCATGTATTTAAGGTTTATGTTTGAGTTTGAGTTTGAGGCTTTAATCGAGTTAAGATTTTTTTCTTTTTCAGCTTTTACGAGTTTCAGTTCATGATTTCGAGTTTGAATTGAGCTTGAAAATTTTAGGCTCATGAGTTTACGAGTCGAGCTCCATTTCAGAGTTTTTGAGGAGTTGAAATCAGCAATACTCGAGCTCGACTCGACTCATTTACAGCCCTACCCTGAAACTATTAATTTATGGGTAACATACATCTCATGCTATTTAATTAGTAGTTATAATCAAGTCGTGCAATTAAGATTCTGTAACATTTAAGTCACTCTTTTTTCAGCATAACCATTGATATTTGACCTATTCATCGATTAATCTAGATCATATACTGTAGAGGTCCATTGTGGGCAACCCTTCCAACCTAATTTGCTCCATTCATAATGTCAGGATTCGAATCCCTGACGTTACTTAAGGAATCTATTCTTAATTTGAAATACAATAACAATTTTAATTCCCAAAACTTAAACATTTTATAAATTTTTACTTTCTTGCTTGGTTGTTTGCGCTGGTGGGTTTTTATGTACGTTCTGTGCAGGATGTTGTACTGGTATGTTAAGCTTTGAGCGATGGTGTACTGTTGCTCCGTTTCAGGACACTCCGGTTGTGTAGGTCGTTGAGGTGATTGGGGCTGCTGTTGTAGGAATTTGTATGTGTATTGCGTAACTGTTTTGTTTGTTTCACTCTGAATGCTGTTAGATTTAGTTAATGATGCTGCTTTCCGTTACTAGACTGTTCACGCCAAAGCGTACTCTTTTTCCTCCAAATAGGTTTAGGGAGGTTTTTTAATGAGGCATTTGGTTGTGAAGTACTTTGTATTCCCGACTCCTCAATACAAAGTATATCTTTTTAAAAAAATATATATATCAATTTAATTCTTGTTCTCTCTCCCTCTCAAATTTCTTGTTTTTCACCGATCATCGTCATCCCTCCATCCTCCACCCTCCTGACTTTTCTCGTAACATTTCATCCATGCTCATTTTAACGAAATTTAATTGAATAATTTTTTAAAATTGAATGATCCATTTATAATTCAACAAATAATTGAATGGCTTGGAATACATTTTCCTTTAATTGACTTTAGTTATGACTCCAAAAAAAGGTCTAACTAATTTTTCTTTTTTCGGAAGTTCTTTTATGCATTTCATCAAACAGATTTGATCACGTCGTCAATCATTCAGCACAAATAGATAGAAGCAACTCAGCGCAGAAGTTAGCCATCAGAAAATCCTTTATCATCCTAATTACAACCTCTACATGCATAAAAACAGCTATACATTATGATCTTTATGATCAAGCGCCGACACCTTCGGACTTCGATCCTTTAGAAATTGAGAGAACAATAGAGAAATTGCAAAGATAATTGGCCAAATGGACACCTTGATGGGATTATCAGAATGATGGCTATAAAAGGCATAAGCCACAATTGCTGAAATACTTTGAAGCACGGCACATACCAATCCAAATATTTTTGCAAAGCTACCGAAGCGCCTGTACCTTGTCGGAGTCGCTGTGGGACAATAAAACCATGGGATCTCCTGATCCCATCTCCATCTCGCCTTTTCCTTTCTTCCCTCATAAGCCAGCTCCATCGTGAATCCGAGCAAACCTACGAGAGCCATTAACATTGCTACCAAAGCATATTCCGGCTTATGCGTGGAAGAAAGCTGATCGAAAGTTGCTGATAGAAGCTCTATCACAGTGTTGGCAATGAGTAAGATCCAAATCTATCCATTGAACATGAACACAAAACACACAAAAAAGGGGACAATCAGAGTTCAATAGTTAAATCTAAGTATCCAAATTGTAGTTCCAAAATGTGATAATTCGTTGAGCGTTAATCATGCATTTGATGAGGGGCTATATAACCAAGACAGGAGTATTTTGTTTTATGATTTAGAATAATTGATTCATGCAGCTATACTAGAAAGGTGAGTTTAGCTGATGTCGGATTTGAATACCACAATCTGCAATATTTATTCTTGTCATTATTACCCAGTTATTGTAATTAGGGGTGAGTATTTTATCGAATCAAGTTGCATTGAGTATAAAAAAATTCGAGTTATTCAAGTTGACTAGTCTTACAACTCAAACTTTCTTGAGTCTATTTAAAATTAATTGTAAATATCTATAATGTTATGATACTATTTAATTGTGTATATATATATATATATACACTTGAAACGTGACTTTAGGAGATGTGGGATTCGAGTCAACGTTCTAACCTTTCCACTTGAACCAGCTTCCATGCCATTGTCATTCACGTCGATGACATGTTCATCTAAATTTTGTGACGAAAGAGACTGAGAAACAGAAAGAGAAAAACAACAGAGTTAATCGTAGAGAAGCGTATCTAGGGAGCTCGATAAATTGTCTCATTCAGATATGAAATGTATACTCAAACCTCAATAAACATGCGTACCTTATTATCAAGGAAGATTGAACCAAGTTCCCCTGTTTTTTCCAGCTCCTGAAAAACATAGTTGGTTGGAGATTTAGGTAAGACATAATGCCAAAAATAGCCCCAAATATTTACCGAAATGGTCATTTTGGCCCCATTTTTTTAGCATTTTGGCTCCCGACATTTCACTTTGGGCCAAAAGGACTCCTCTATAGATGAAAATCATTAGTTAACACACGATTAACACGTCAAAATAAGAGCCTTTATTAACCTAAAATAGAACGTTGAGGGCTACAATACCCCAGGAAAAAAAATAAGGGACAAAATTATATCCTGTCAAATGTTAGGGTTTTCCCTCTAAAATGTGGAACATCATGTCAAAATACTCCAAAAAAATATAATAAAGGGCAAAATGACAATTTTAGTAAATGCCGGGGGCTAATTTTGGTATTTTTGCCTTTATGTAATAAAATCTAGCCCTAAATAGAGTTGCGAACATTAGCATACCCGGCGAATTCGAGTTCTTGCATTTTGCGAATGCTGAAAATTTGGAGATTTAGATAATGAAATCCGAATTTCAAAGTAAGATTTGTGAACAGTTACGCACCTGAAGGGATTTATTTAACTCCTGGTTTTCTATCTCGACCAATCTCTGCTTTGCCTCAACTTGTGTTAATTTATGTTCCTTGTAATCGACGGGTATCTTCAATATATCTTGTTTAATTCTTCGGATTTCAGCTTCCATAGCATCCATATCTTTCATAATTTGTGGGAGTTTGGCTCCCGGTGGCCATGGCGTTTTGATTTGCTCGAGGGTGCGGCGCAATTCAAATTTTATGTCCCTCAGCTTACAACACAGAGACAGTGTCAATGCAAGTGTTGCATTTATAGAATAAAGTATATAAATGGTCATTGACTATAAGGTATTGTAGTAATGAGTCTCAGAGTCTCTAATTATTAAATGTTATAAATTGATTTCTCGATTATAAAATATTGTTTTGTTGAGACTTACAACTAGTAAAAGTTATAAAATGATCTCCTAACAATTCATATGTTCTAAACTCATCATTGTCTGTTAAAAATTAACAATCGTCTGAGCTAGACACTAACTTGTTGATTGAGATATGATAAAGTATGATCACATAACCGTTTAAGCTATATTTTGTGGACTAACTCTCTATTTACATTATATTGTTTAGCTTGTGCTTGAAACATTATATCGTCGAGTCAATCATTGAAAGAAAGGATGATACTAGTAAACATCATTAAAATATGATTTATTATATCTCAATCAAAATGTCAACGTCTAGCTCAAATAACCGTTAATTTTTTAACGAAAAACTGCAAGTTTAGAACATATAAATAATTGAATTACTATTTTATAGTTTTTAATAGTTGAAGGATCTAACAAAATAACATCAACAAACAACTCAGTCAGGAACCATATGTGTATTTTATCCTATTATTTATTATTCCCATAATGAGAAAGAAATAAGCCTTGCTTAGAAAGCCATAGTCCATTCATTTACTAGGGTGGACCGTCATATATGTGAATTGAATATGAATTACCAAGTTCAGGTAAGAGACTTTACCTTCTTCATCCTTTTGTTGATTTGATTTATCAAAACCGTCGCACTTTTCCCCACAGATTTATGCCTGATGAGCTCTTCATAAGTATGTGCTTTCTTTGTCGGTTTTGCCGGTTTCTTGGAATTCGGCAATCCACCGGTGAAATTTCCACTTGAATCGTCTTCCATTCCATTGCCGTCTATGTCGATGGAACGGTTGGCTAAAGTTTGCAACACTGCAAACTAACAAACAGAAACAACAACGACGACGATTACAACAAAGTTAATTGTTGAGAAGCGTATTTAGGGAGCTCATTGTTTTATTTACACATACCGTATTATTAAGTAAGATTGAATCATGTTCCCTTGTTTTTCCCAGCTCCTGGAAAACCAAGTTAGATGATTCCACGGAAGTCTCTGGTTCCACGGAAGTTGATGATTCACCGGTAAAATCAGTCACTCGATGCCAACGACGTCTCCTTTTATGGTTTTTAAACGATAAATACGTTTGATGATAAATTCCTACATTGATAAAGGTTAAAGATGCATTTAATTACATGTATACGTTCGATATGATAAGTATGAAGTTTGAAGCATACTTGACATGTATACTATGCATCATTGGTTCATTGGTTGAATATGGAAGTATGATATATGTATGAAAAAATATGATATGTTACAAGCTCATGATGAATTGGTCGGGCAAGCATGTTTCTATGTAGTTTTTGCTGCTTCTAAAGTGTTCGAATTGGTTGGGCTAAGTTTACAGGTCATTTTGGTATGTTTGGAAGCTCCTAAAGTTGGCAAATTTGCCTAATAAGGCATTGCAGCTGCAGGATACCGATACCCTACATAAGGGCACCAATACCATGCGATCTGGCCATGACTTGGTCTCACTTTGAATGGAAGCTAACCTGGCCTTAATGGCCTTGGTCTTACCTCTTTCGTCAGCTTGTTCCCATTCGAAACTCATCTTAGCAAAGCTTCTGCACGGTGCATTCCGTCCAACGGGTCGTAAACTGCATCTTCAAGCTTTTTCAAGACGGTATTTGCCAGGATTGCTCGACACGGACCGCTCTTCAGAATCAATAAGCACAGCTTCAATAACAAATACGATGCTTCTGAGGTCTCGGAGGTTGTCTTTGAAATTTGACCGCAAGCCGAGTCACTGCAGAACAGGGGGGCTCGGTTTAGTAGCGACGTTGAAAGCAATTGCTTCTGCCATTCCTCTTGCAGACCAAAACTAAACCGGAGTGTTCGGAAGTGATTAATTACTGCAAAAGGAAGACTGGAAATGAATTGAAGAAGATAAAATGTTGTTGTCCATACGTACATAAATAGATATTTCATTGAAGACAATGACCTGTCATCTAATGTCACGGAGCTAATGAAAATCACTAGAGTTATGCGAACTTTTCAATTTTGGTTGGCTATGGAATATGCGAACTTTTCAATTTTGGTTGGCTATGGAATATGCGAACTTTTCAATTTTGGTTGGCTATGGAATTGTATATACAGTCCGTTTGTTTTACGTATAATATTTTTCGGAAAACGTTTTCTTTATTTTTTTGTTTGGTTGGAAGAAAATATATTGATCAATGTAAAATATTTTCCTAATCAATAGAATTTCCTTTAAATTTTTTGAAAAATGACTTACGGTTTAATTTTTCGTAAATCATCTTCCAAACTTTTCACTTCAAAGCATAAATACTCAAAATAATATTATTTTATAAATTTAATATTAATATGATATTTTAGTATAATTTTAATAAAAATATTAATTATTAACATATTTAAAATATATTTATTAATATTTTAATAATATAATATAATAATATAACAAAAATATACTCAATTATATTATAATAATATACGATACTATTATATTTTTATTTTAATAATATATAATAAATTATTAATAAAAGTTATATTATTTATTAATTTCTTAAAAATAATATTATTAAATTATTAATAGTGAATACTTTTATTTATGTATTTAATATTAATATAATAGTCTAATAATATTATAAAAATTCCTTGAAATATATTTATTAATAATTTTAAAATATAATAGAATATTTTTAGTTTTATAGATAACTAAATTTTTTAAGAAAAAAACTTTAACATATTACGTGAGCATGTACAAAAATTTTAGATGCATAAGTTTTTTTTTTTTTGCATGAATCAACTTATCTCAGTAGTTAAATAAATTATTGTTGCTCTAGAGGTTCGAGCATCAGTAACTACAACATAGTTATTGAGCATTTATTATTAAATAATTAAAAATATTTAGAACAGATACTATTTTGTAATCACCTTAGGTTAATAAAAAAATACATAAGTTTTTTCTTCTAATATTTTTCATATTCATTTTATGGTCTAAATTTGATATTATTCTTCTCAAAAAAATTGTCTTTAAAGTTTCTATTTTTTGTTTTTTACGATAAAAATCGTAATGAAAAATAAGAATTTTTACAACTGTTTTTCTCTTTGCATGATAAAAAATAAAAATAAATAAATGGTTGGCGTTTGGTTATGAATAATGACCAAATTTTATAAGAAAATGGATATCTCGGGCTGTTCTTTCCACTTCAACGAACGGCCTGAATCATTTCTTGGACCGGGGAAAAGCATATTTTTTTGGACAAAAATGACCCAATACATCATGTAAATAAAAAAAATTGATTTCAAAATTAATTTGAGATTTACAGTAAATGTTTTAGTGTAAGAAAAACTCGTTTCACCTGTATGATAATTTTTTTATATAATATTTTTTATTTAAACTTGTCATGTCAACGTAATAAGTTTAAAAAAATATAATTTTTATTAAAATTTGTTACGTCATAATGACAAATTCCAATAAAATTGTATTTTATTATAACTCATTAGACCTATGTGATCAGTTTTAAGTCAATATAGAAAATGTCGTAGATTCTAAATTAATTTTTGAGATAATATAATGGGTCAATTTTTTAATCAGCCCAACCTATTAGGCCTAGGGGTGATCAAAACTCGATGCGACTCGAAAAATTGATTTTTTTTTCAATTTCAAATTATTCGAGTCAACTCGAATTATAAATTCGGTTTTCGAGTTCAATTTGAATTGAATTTTTGAATTTTTGAATTTTTGAGTTACTCAAAATATAAAAAATTTGACCAATACTTTGAAAGTTTTACGATTTAATCCCTGATTTAACTATTTCTTCAATTACTCTTTCATTTTAAGTCAATTTTTTATTAAAATTGAACCACAAGCTCCTAAACCATAGTATAATACATGTGTACTTTAAATTCCTCTTTTTGATAAAAATATTTTATTTTTCAATTTAGTCCTTAAATTTGTTATAATCTCCTTATTTCTTCAATTCGTCATTTATTTTAAATATATTTTTTACCAAATTTTAGTCACATGCTCCTAAACCATAGTAGAATACATGTGTACTTTCAATTCCTCTTTTTGATAACAAATTTTTTATTTTTCAATTTAGTCCTTCAATTTTTCATAATCTCCTTATTCCTTTAATTTGTGATTTATTTCAAGTCACTTTTTTTACCAAATTTGAACCACATGCTCATATACCACAATAGAATACTCGTGTAACTTTAATTTTTTTAACTAAAGATATACTATCTTTTTTATTTAGTCCCTAAACTTTACATTTCACTCAATTTGGTCTTTTGTCTACAATTGTTTGTAAATTTTTTCTTCTCATCAATTCATTGACTCATTTATACTCTCATCAATATTTTACCCTCAAAACACTTTCTTTAAAATATAATATTATGAATATATTTTATAATTTTAGATTATATTTGATATATTAAATAATATTATAATATGAAAGAATAATATATATATATATTATGGTTAGATAAAGTCAAAAAAAATGAAACAAATCATTGTCATAATGCTATAAATAATTATAATAAAATTAGTACATAAAGTCGAATAACTCGAATCGAATTTTTTAAACTCAACTCGAATAACTCAAAATTTTTTAACTTGACTTGACTTAATTGAATGTTTACCCTAATTAGGCCTAATTTGCCTATTTTTGGTCCATAAAAGGAAAAAGACTACGAATATCTACAAAGAAAGAAACAAAGGGTTTAAGAATCGAAAGGGCTATAAATTCACACCCACTTAAAACCCTAGAACTATTCATCAATTCAAAGCCTTGAATTTTACCACTTTCCTTTTTGTTTTTTGATTTTATTATTATTTTTTCCCTATCGAACCTGACAAATGAATTCATACAGCTTCGTTGTTTCTGTTATCTTGGACTCTGCATCTCTTTCAGGTTCTTTTCTTCTTTCTCTTTAAAACCCAGATGCCATTTTGTCTGTCAAGATTCCATTTGCATTTCTTTTTGTAATTTGTGCACTTTTTTTCCTTTTAATTTATGGTTATGGGTTTTAGCTGCAATTCGTTTGATGTTATACTTTACGTTTTGAAGCTCAATGTGCTCTTCAATTTAGAACATTATAGCCTATTTAGCATTTATCTTTGGGTTGAGGTTTATTTTTATTTTGATTTCTTAATTTTAAGTTGATGCTGTTAAATGAGCGACGATCGTGGTTGAGCTAAAGGGTTAATTTCTGAATCTTTTTAATGCATTTTTTATTTTATTGTGTTTTATGCAGGTATTGAGAGAAAATTTTGATTGTGAAACTTGAAAATTAAGCTATTTGGGACTCTACTAAGTTTTCTGGTTTGTGTCATAGCTTAAGTGAGATCTGATTTCTTAGTGCTGGCGGTAAAATGGTGAATGCTCTATCGATATCGCCGTATATTAGACCTTCAGATACTAGATCAATGGGGATACTTAATGTCCTTGGAGGGAGGGTGTTAAAGGAGAATCCTTTAGGGAAACTTAGCTGCTTTAAAATGTGTGATGGGAAAAGTGGGTCCTTGATTTCAAGCCAAAGGCCGGCTATTTCTCATTTTAGATGTTCCTCTAACTCTCAGAGTGTCAGTCCATATCAAAATAAGGACCCTTTTCTGAATATGCACCCGGAAGTTTCAATGCTTAGAGGTGAAGGGAACCCTATAATAACCAACTCGGGAAAGGATAGCTCTAGTCCCGAGAGCTTAGGGTACGTGTCTGGTTCAAATAATTACAATGAAGCTAAGATCAAAGTCATTGGTGTTGGAGGCGGTGGGTCAAATGCTGTTAATCGCATGATAGAGAGCTCATTGCGGGGTGTTGAGTTCTGGATTGTTAACACTGATGTTCAAGCCCTGAAATTGTCACCCGTCTTTCAGGGAAATCGTTTGCAAATTGGTCAGGACCTGACTCGGGGTCTTGGTGCTGGTGGAAACCCTGAGATTGGCATGAATGCTGCCAAAGAAAGCAAGGAGTCAATAGAAGAGGCTCTTTCTGGTGCTGATATGGTTTTTGTTACTGTAAGTTCCCATCCTTGATTATTTAGGTAGAAATTTTAATTTTACTAGTACTATTACTAATCAAATTTCATGAGTGGCTTTAATCTGAATTGCCTTTGTTTTTGGGCCTTTTTTATAACTTTTTATTAACTAGACCCCTCTTGGAGACTAGTCAAAGATATTTGTTGAAGAAAATATTTAAAGCTTCATATTTAGAGCGAATATTCACAAGCCATTTGATAAACACAATTAATCTTGCTACTACTGTGATTTTTTGTTTTATGAATTTTATTCAATCAACTGAATGGTTAATGAGTAATGTGCAAAGTCGACAACTGGTAAGAGTCATGTCATATTTCTGCAACTGCGCCGTCATTATAGATACTAAGGATCAGATATTTGTCTATACCATATAAGTTAAACATTGTATAGCCAATCATAACTTTTCCTAGAGCTTGATTTGTCTTGTATTTTGTTCACAATTTATTCTTGCTCCTGATATTTTTTTCCTTTAAATTGTCATGGTGGAACCTCTTGTTCTGGTACTATTGCATGCGGTGTTTCCATCAATCGATATTTGCTGAGGAAAAATTAGAATGAGCACATAAGATCTTACCTTTCTTCTGTCCTCTAGTATCTTTAACATTTTTACCTAGGACATAAAGCTTGCAATTGCAGGCTGGAATGGGTGGAGGGACCGGAACTGGTGGAGCTCCTGTAATTGCAGGGGTTGCAAATTCGATGGGTATATTAACTATCGGTATTGTGACTACCCCTTTTTCTTTTGAGGGAAGAAGGAGAGCTGTTCAAGCACAGGAAGGGATTGCAGCTCTGAGAGAAAATGTTGACACACTAATTGTTATCCCAAACGACAAGTTGTTAACTGCAGTTTCACCATCTACTCCCGTAACAGAAGCATTTAATCTAGCTGATGATATTCTTCGTCAAGGTGTGCGTGGTATCTCTGATATAATTACGGTATGGAATGCTTCCAGATACTGTTGAAAACCTCCATAGTTTTGTGATAGAGATGAAACCCAAATATTTAGATAAAGGAAACAGAGTTGTAATGCCATTTTCTTTCTTTCTCCTCGCATAGTATTTGAAAATTGACTCTGTCCTTCCATTTTTAATGATGACCACTATTGATGGTCAATTGGTGAAAAATTTGTGCACCTTAAATTTTAGGCTAAAAATGTTTTACTTATCTGGTTTGTTAGATGGTAAGGATGAATTAATTAGTTTGGTGCCAATTTTTCCATCTCTCTTTTCCCTTTTCAATATGAAGTTTGTAGTCATAGGCTTTGGGTGGTAAAATTGGTATGCCCTTTATTCATATAATACTTGTGGAGTTCACTTTTTGATGAAATATCACACTTTTTTCTGGTAAATAGTAATTGTGATTCGTTGTCAAACATGCTATTTATCTAAGGCTCATATATTTTCCAGGGTCTATACGTTATCAGAATGCAGTGGTAGGGAGTGTCTTCATGTGTTATTTAGTCTGGATAACTTTGGTCATACTCATTGATACTGCTAAATCTATTGATTTCCATGCTTTGGAGTAGAACCTTGGAGCCTGTAAAAATCAGTATTGTCAGCATGACTTCCCATGCATATGTGTGTTGTTTCGGGCAGCAAAAACCTTGAAGCATATTTCAGGGTTTGGACCATACTTCTGCACTCTCTAATTGGTTGTGTGTTTCCTTATAGCAGATTCCAGGACTAGTCAATGTGGATTTTGCAGATGTGCGAACTATAATGGCAAATGCAGGTTCGTCACTGATGGGGATCGGAACTGCAACTGGTAAAGATCTTTAGCATCTTTGACTTTGAATGCATAATGTTTCTACCTCAGTTTCCCCCAGAAGTAGAAGTGATTTTATTTTACCTAGTTTCTCTCCTTCCTTTCCTCTTATTGGCTGTACGTTTTGATGTTTTATCTTGAAAGAAACAAATTTTTACATGTCATATGGCCTTTGATCTCTTCCCATCATGATGTTTTGGTTTATGAAATGGCAAATTTAGTTTTTCAAATTGGAAAGTTGACATCTCACTTGGTTCGAATAGGTCACTATTTTCTAATTGTTTCTTTCTGGTTTGTAGGGAAAACACGGGCAAGAGATGCTGCACTAAATGCTATCCAATCACCTTTGTTAGATCTTGGCATAGAAAGAGCTACCGGCATTGTTTGGAACATAACTGGTGGAAGTGATTTAACTTTGTTTGAGGTAACCGTCTGACTCTCTTAGTCTCTCTGTGTTTAGTCGACTGTGGATGGGGGATTTGACCTTTAATGTATTATCTCATCGAACTATATATACACTTTCTTTTACCATGACGCAACATTCTTAGTCATATTGGAGTGGAGCCCTTCAAGGTAAGAGAATATTTATTTAAGCCTGAGCTGGCCCACCATATCTGATATGGGCATTCTTGAGTATCGAAACCAGAGAAAATGAGAAATACTAGTATACTAATGAATACTGCATTGTACATAGTGACTGAAATATTATATGCCAGAGACATTGATTATCTTGAATTTTCTGTTTGTTTTAGAATATGCCTACATGTTTTATTTCTCTGTTGATATGCATGATTTGACATTGGATGACTTTCTGTAGGTTAATACTGCGGCCGAGGTTATATATGATCTTGTAGACCCAACTGCCAATTTAATATTTGGAGCAGTGATTGATCCATCACTTAGTGGCCAAGTAAGTTTATGATTGTTGATACATCATACATACTCGTGCCAAAATTTAGATTTACAATTTGTCATTTGCATACCTCTATCATCACTATACTAATACTTTGAGTAGCTCTGCTGTCTAACTGTAGTCTTAATAAAGCATATTCTATGAATTAAACACTCCGAAAAGCAGTATTAAAACCTGCAATAAATGGATTCTTTTGAATGAACTTTACTCTCTAGGCCACATTTTGGTTCGATAAGAGACACCTTCGCGTTTATTTCTGTAGATAGTTCTATATGTAATTTTTGTTTACAAGTATCTCAGCCTTATCTTGCAGTTAGATTGACAATGGTATTGCTTCTCCTCTCCCTAAAGGCTTATGTGTTGTTTTCGAGTTCTCAAAATAGATAAAATATTCAGAGTGTAGAATTAGGCCAAATTTAGAACCCAAATCACATCGACGTTATTGACAACTGTTGAATTGATGATGGTAAATGTCAGTGTTGGATGCAGTATGTGTCAAACATGAATATGCTCAATCTTTTATAAGTTTTTCCATATCTTTAAAAGAATCACTTACCCCAAACCGATGTTCGAGTATGTATCCGATATTGGTGTTGGACACATACTTTTTTGGAAAATGAAGAGTCGGAGCAACATGCTAGAAAGATGCTGGTATTCCCTTTTGACTGTTTCATTTAGTTAAATAAAAAGGTCATGTTTCATAAACCAGCTAGACCTTTTACTGCAAACTTCATGATCCTTGTATGAATCATTAATACGATGACAAACATCTGTTTTGGGTCTTTATTTAGGTAAGTATAACCCTAATCGCAACGGGATTTAAACGTCAAGAAGAAAGCGAAGGAAGGCCCCTTCAGGTGCGTGGCAACTCTCTTCCTTCAACCCTCGTTCATACACCATTTATACCGAACTCCCATTAAAAAATGCAGGCAGGTCAGGTAGTACAGGGAGACACCGGCCTTGGAATCAATAGGCGACCCCCTTTCAATGAAGGTGGTTCATTCGACATCCCGGAGTTCCTGAAGAAGAAAGGACGTTCGCGCTATCCTGGAGCTTGAATAGCTCTCTGCGTCGTGTTTCTATTCCTGCTTAGTTTCCATTTCTTCTTTTTCGGTTAGCACATACGTTCCGACTCAAGAATATAGCATGTTAGTATCTAGTTCTTCAACAACTTTCTTTGCTCTCTTCAATAAATTTTAAGTAAATTTCTTGAAGTTTAGGGTAGTGAATGTTTACCATGTTTAAAATAAAACCAAAGTAGCTTGTATAGAGTGAATTTGATGGGGAAAAAAAAACCCAAAGATGAGATTATTCAGTGTGATTTAATCAGTGAAATATATGCTAGTGTGATTTTTCATTATGCTAGAAGTATGGTGTTACCAGTATAGGAATAAAACAATTCATTTTGAGCAAGTCATTGAAGCTGTTTTTAAAAGTTGTACTATCAACGGACTTATGACAAATTTCCAGATGGAACTATGATATTTTCGAGTTGAGATGTCTTTTTTTATGAATGGATCATTAACATGGTGATAACTGATAAGATCCTTCAAATATCCGCGTTCGTATTAGATGTTTATTTTCGAGTTCAGACGACATGTTCAAACTTCCCATACATCATAGTTTTCATAGCAAACAACATAGAAAATAAACAGAAAGATACAGTAATTACCAAGGGGAAAAAAGGGTGAAATTTTAGGCATCAACACTATATGTCTTGTATATGAGTTTTTGACACTGATACCCATGTCTGTAAATGCTCCGGATACGGTGCCGGGCACCGATAACAACACGACATGATGGATAACATGAATTGGGAAGAGGTTTCCATTAGCATTGAGCATATGTAGCTCTCAAGTAATCTGCTATTTCTGCACTTTCAAACATTTGCACCCCCGTGTTTGGATCTTCTAGGTAAGGTACCTGTAATTGTCAACCATTTTTTGGGTAGAAAATACCATCTATGAACTTTCTCAAGTCGAAAACATGTTAACAGAAGTTCTAATATACCTGAAAATGTCCGGCTTTCTCATACAGGATATTCCGTTTCGGGCTGCCCCGAGGACAACTAATAGAAAAAAAAGAGAGGATAACTTCAATTAATAAAAATGATCTCGGTAGCATGTATTGAAACTCGAACGAGTAAATGAAGACTGATTATGAACGACAAGGATGTGAATGATCACGGTTCAAGGCCTGATACATCTTAACCTTACAAGGTTTAGTGCATATGCAAATGCAAGTAGCAACTAGAATCTACCATAAGTATGACGATGATCATGATTCGAACAAATGGCTTAAACTAGTCTATGTAGCCAGATAGATTTTGAATGTTCATGGACCATTTATGTTCGAGAAGAGAGGCTGCTTGAACAAAATTGCCTAGTCAAGCAGAGTGATTATTTAGACTTTTTACCTGCGCTGAATGTGTGGTAACTCGAGTTCGACCAGCACTTCTCGAGCAATCTTACAGAATGGGGATCCCTAAGAGGAAAGTCAAAACATTTTAAGGGCGAAAGCCACGAAACTTGTATGCAACTAGTGCGAGTGTATAAATATATATAATCTATAACAATACTTCTACATATACACCATTCGGAAATTATAGTTGCCTCAGATTTAAGAAGGAACCTAAGTTGCTGAACATAAATATCTTAAAATTTTGAGAATTTTAATACTGTACTACCTCAAATGCCCATATCTCAAGTGGCTTGGGAGGTAACTTTGATGGAGTGTAGTAAGTTCCCTGCATAAAACATAATAGGGTTTACGTTAGGGCATCCTCGTAGCGTTTTGCGGAAAGCAAATGCTCCGCAAATGCATGGAGTAAAACTCAACATAATCGCTTTAGGTTACAAACAAGCAAGATTTACTTGAACATGGGTGTGTGTGTGTCAATATGAATATAAATCTGACATGGAAATGCTTGATTTTTTTTATATTTCTAAATCTTCCACGTAATAGAAAGGTCGTATCTTCATACTTCTGTGTCGCACAAGATGTCAGAAAGCGATGGAGGAACATCGTAAACAAGTTAAAAATGCATAAAAAGAAGAACTCCATGTCTGTTTTAAAGAGGAATTCCATGTCTGTTTTACCTTTCCAAAGCGAGCAATCATGGCAAAGGCTTCACTCAGTGTCTGCAAAACAAGAAGATTTTAAGAACATTTCAAGGAAACCGAGAAAAATAATTAGCCAAAGATAAAACGCTAACCGTCAGCGGACCGAGCGACAGCATGAAAGGAACTCTTCCATCACCTAAAACAAGATAGAACAGCATAGATGAGTAGGCTGACTTGTAGCACAAGAAAAAACAATGAACTCGTACATCGAAAACTCTATAATATCTCAAGTACGCATCAGCCTAGAATAGGTAGTATTAGTAAGCAAGACATGTTACATTTACCATAATTTCGAACCAGATACTTTATGATTTCATCTGATTCATACATAGCCACTCCCGTATTTGGATCCACCTGAAACCCGAAACAAATCATGAAGTCGAACTCCCGACATTATTCTTTTTTTAATGTCCTTAAAACAAATAAAAGTGTTAATAGATGTGAACTAAAATAACATCTAACCATGTATGGGAACTGCTGCTTTCCACCCATTTCAGTAACCTTGGGACGAAAAGTTGGACCATTTTTGGGGCACGGATAAAACAGAACATCGAGATCCAAAATTGAAACAATTTCCCTAACCTGTGTACCGATTGCGACATGTCAAGTTAGAGTGAGATAGCATCCAATGGGACATCTGCTCCATCACATTTATCTTTCATGACAGTAGCAAGAAAACTACCTTCCGACAGAATGGACAACTGGAGTTGCATCACCATTATCCATGATTCAAAGGGAAAAAACGAAGCGAACAGAGTCAATCTTTTCTTCATCACAAATGAAACATAAAAAACTACAGGGAAAAATATGGCTACAAAGGCCATACACATAGATTTAAGGATAATGAAAAGAAAATCCAGGTACCTTTCAAACTCATATATCTCAATCGGCTTTTCTGGACGAGGGCCAATCTTCGATGTCTCTTTCAGCTTATAACCTGTAAAAAATAGTATCCAATCCGCATTTAACTGTGAAATTTCAATAAAATTTAAACGACAGAAAGATCAACCATGAAAGTAAATGCTTTGCTTCCACGATTTGGACTCTAGACTCGTACCAGACTTCGAAAAAATGACATGGCAAAATAAGGAAATGAAACAACAATGGATCTGCCATACCTCCTATGTCTAAACTATACTGGTCAGGTGGGATCTCATCCTTGGAAACAAGAGACGCGGAATAGCTGCCACGAAACAAAGAAGATAAACTAGTATTAGAAGAAACATAGAAAGTCTAATGCTATTACCATGAACCATCTTATCCACTAATTAGAGTTAATTGCACCGTGCCTCTTCAAATCATGTCCAATTTCTTCTCAAAGACTCTCCTTCTAAATCTTTAAACCTCTTAGCATTCTAATTTCATCCCAAACTATGACCCTCATTCTAAATTAATCTCAAACTTTTGAATGTTTCAGTTTCATTCCCAGACCATCGATATACGTGAATCACGTCTCTTGTTAATAGAGTCGTTATAAAAATTGTTAACTACCATGCAAACGTTGATGCATATTATTATGTAATGATATGATGGGACATAAACGATAATTAATATTGAGTTTAAATAAAATAATGATTTTGAGGTGTCATACAATAATTATCGTTTATATCACGTCATATTATTATATAATATACACTAGTGTTTACATGACTAACTTTTTAATGGTTTTACTAATAGGGGTCTTATTAACAAGGGATGTGATTAACATATATCGATAATTTGAAAATGAAATTGGAATTTGGAAACCAAATTAAAATAAGGGTCAAAGTTTGCTCTCGGAGTGTAGTAAAAGGCTTCTTTCCTTTAATTAGACAACTAAGAACAATTTGATAGTGGATGGTAATTATGACCAGGGTTTCAAATAGCGCCCCGCTAGCGATGCCTTCCGCTACACCTGCAATAGCGTCCGCTATGACCGTAATCACCGTAAAAACGAGAAGACCGAAAACGCGACCGTGATTTGAAATCTTGATTAGGACTAACAAATTTCCCAGAGTGCATATAACGAAAATAACAGCCTAAATAATCCAATTTGATTACTATGTTCATACTCTAATTTTTCATAGAAAACTCAAATTCATTTACCAGAGCCAAAAATACCAAACACCATCTAAATTTCATTACACTTAATGTGAACCCTTCAATTTTCTCATGAAAATCAATCAAAATAAACAAAAGGGAGAAGAAAATGGAAATACATACCCAGAGACAAAAATACCGGTTCCCAACCGAAAGAACAAGGCAAGGCAAGCTCCAATGATATCCCAAAACTTATCTGGTCTGATGCCAAGCCTCTTTGGCTCCGGTTGCTTGAAATTCGGAGGAAGAGCAAAGGATGCAGCCGTTGAAGAAGAAGAAAAAGAAGCAAAGCTTGAATTCTGAACTTCCTTGGTACCGCTGATAGAGGCAGTATTGTGCTGGGAATCTGAGGTTTCCGAGGAAGCTGAAACAGAAGTGGAAGGTGGTGATTTTAACTGTTTACGGAAGGTAAGTGATGAAAAACCAGGGAGCTTGGAGGTGTTAAGGACTCCAGCCATAGCTTTGGGTTGATGAAATTACACTTTTCTTTGAGAGATCCTGGCGTTGACTTTATTTATAGCGAGAAAAAAAGTTTGGTTTTGGCCTTGGGGGTGTGAATGTGTCCATCGCGCCCATTCATCTCATTAAATTCTGTTCTACCTACCGGGAAAGTCTACGCCAATCGGTACGTGTATTAAATTGGGAAAAAATTAAAGTATTATTTTATCTTTTAAATATTTATATTTTTAAATGATGAATTGTGCTTACAAAATTATTTAATATATATTTAATATAATACTTAATTATAAAAATAAGTGCTTAAACTATAGTATTTTTCATAAATAAGTGTTTAAATTATTTTTTTGAATGATATCGATGTCTAACGTTATAAACGTTATCACTTTAGGTGTTCGGGTCATCAGTAACATTAATTTCCTCCATTAAGTGTGATGATAATTTCAAAAATTTTATTTAAAATTTAAAAATTTAAAAATCATATATTTAAAAAAATTGAAATAACCCCAAAACTTTAAAAACCTTAATTTCAACCCCTAAACTCACACCGATCGTCGCACTTTGTCGTCGATGAAGCTCCATCCAACCTCACCTCCCCAAAACGATCAAAACCCCTTGAAATTGTGACCTATCAACAACAAATCAACATTTTATACACCGCGAACCCTAAGATGAAAATCACAATCCCACGTAATTTTAACGGTCAATCAACATCATATGACTAAAAAGATAGTAGAAACTACGTTGACGATAGTGGTCATGACCAAAAAAGGCAGTGGCAGTAAGTTAGGGTAAGGATTTTGAGGCTTTTTTTGTAATTTAAGAAAAAATATTTTTTTAAATATAATAATACTTTTAATATTTTATAAAATAAATTACCAAATTATGAAACTTGTCACTTGATAAAGAAAATTAATGTTGTTGACAATCCAAACAACTAAAGTGATTAAAAAATAGTTTAAGGATCTATTCGTAAAGAACACTATAGTTTGAACACTTATTTTATAATTAATCCTTCATATAATTAATGAGTATATGAATATCCTTATGTTCGATATATATTTGTCCAATGTTGGTTAAAAAAGAGGATATATTTGCCCAATGTATTAAAAGTCATTCATTGAAAACCCAATTTGCCAACTAAACCCAAATTAATAATTTTCAACATAACTCAAATTTTAGGTTAAATTCTAAAATGAGGACATAACCTTTAAGAATTACTCACAAAAAGACTAAATATTTCAAAAGATCAAATACCTTAATATATTCAAATATAATCAAATAAAGATAATCTTTCAAAAAAAAATCCAATATGAGTATCAAACATCAAGAATGAGCATGTTCTATCGTATAGTTTGTACCTATTATATGGACATTGAGTGCCAAAAGCCTTGTTTTGATAAAGAAATTTGAAAACAACTAGAGGAATAGGTGTTTGAACTCTCCATTTGCTAGCTGACAGAGTTGATCATAGCTGGACGCATCTGCCATTATTAACAATGCCAAGGAAAGATTTCTCAGAGACAATCAAAAGAGATTACGAAAAAACACTGAATCCAAGTGAAGATTAAAGAAATAAGGCTTCAAAGGAACTTCAGACAGACCCTTCAAAGGAACTTCAGACAGACCCAAGGCAGCATATAGTTCAACATTGCTTAAATCAATCAGTTTACCATTTTATTCTTCTTATTGCTTAAATCTGAATAAACCCATCAACATTGGGGAGACAGACAAATCTTTTTCAGAAAGCAAACTAGAGACCATTAGCACCAATTACTGTTTTCAAGGATGAGTGTGATTTCTTGTTAAGAGGTGAACTTCTAAAATTTTAGAGGGGATCAATTTATAAAGTTCTAGCTGGCAAAAATATATTATTAAAAAAATATCTAAAACATGTACTAGTTTAATTTTTTTCAAGGGGACGATTATCCCCGCCCATTCCCCTCAGTCCATCCTTGACTGTTTTGATTCAGCTACCCTAATAAAGTATTTATTAAAACATGTAGAAGTGTTTGCCCTAAAACCAATCTGGAATTCCATGAAGATGTAGTACCCAAATCAGAGCTGAAACCCTCGAAATGCAGTTATCTATGTAAAAGCAATCACATTTGCATTGGCCAAAAAGGATCATGATTTCATATGGAGTGGAAAAGCATACCAAATGTGTCACCAAAGTTGGTCCACAATTCAGCTCGGATGGTATTTTCATTCTCGGCAACTCCAATAACCTCAACAAAACTTGTAGGCGGAACATGTGGAGAGCCTTTTGCAACAAGTTGGTAACCATCGGTAGACTTTCCAATCACGGATGCGATATCAGACCGGGTAACCTGAAGCACGGTTCGCACCTTTCGTCCCACATGCATGCGTAGCAATCCTCCATTAGCAAAAGCTGCAGGGCTTGAAATATCCATATCTTGCATAACAAATTGGAAAACATCAAAAAATAAATTAATTTTACCAATTCGAAAAGTGATTTCCAATCACAATCGTACACTGAATTAGAAAAACAACGACGGTTTTTACCCAAACAAGAAGCTAAACACAGATTTGCAATGAAGTTTGACCAAATCGTTATCACTAATCTAAAAGGGAAAATCCAAGCATAATCAACATTCTACCCTCATATCACATTATAACTATTAGCAAATCTAAGACGAGCGACATACAGAAAATGCCAGTAAGTTTATTGAAGGTCAAAAGAATTAACAGGGCGTTAATTAAGTCGGTTCTACTCATTTCACAAAGTTATTTCCAGGTAATGAAAATTAAATAACTACTAATCAAAAGTGTGTTAATTCAGTCCGATCTACTCATTTCACAGAATCAACCGAATACGACAACTATTTTGGTTCACAAATTTATTTGCAGGAAATGAAAAAAATTAAATAAATACTAATCAAAAGTGCGTTAATTCAGTCAGATCTACTCATTTCTCAGAATCAACCGAATACGAGAACTAGTTTTGTTCTTCATGATGAAAATCAGTAAGAAAAATGAAAAATAAAGGTTGCGATGTATAACGTACCGAATCAAACTAAAAGTGAGGTTTAGTGAGGATTGATGACGGTTAAAAGTTAATTGCTGGAAAATCTGAAAGATAAAAAGGAAATTTCAGAAAAGCTTCAATTGATTTTCTCAGGAAACAGAGTATATATTATAGAAAAATTACCCGATCGAGTGCCAAGAGGACTTCTTCCTTCTTGTTTTAATTTATAGGATATAGGGTTTATATATTAAGTAGAATTTAGGATATGAAAAGCAAGCGCGAGATCCTGATGGCGGCAAAATGAAATCATGGAGGGATAGGGAGTGTCACATACAAATAAATATACAATTCGAATAACTCGAAATTTTTATTAATTAGTTAATGAATTTTTAAGTTTGAGTCCAGTGTCTCAATTCTGTATGATAAATGTATATCACATACGAAAGAAATAAACACGTATTGTATTTTTTTTTATCAAAAATCACACAGGAATGTATTGTTGCATGTGTTACTCGACTCAACTCGAATTTTATAAATTTTACTCGACTCGAAAAATTATCAAGTTAACTACGAATTGTAAAATAAGACTCGTCAACTTGAATAACTCTAAAAAATTTTACCCGACTCGATAGAACGTTCACTCCTGTGCACTTATATATGCCATAAAAACCAAATTAACCATAATGCTTCTATTACGCAAGAAAACACTTTGGCTTGGAGAAACAATAAGGCTTTAGACCATGATCTTGGTTATACATCTGTGTACCATTGAGCAGCATAAGTCTCGAGTCCCATGACGAATCAAGGCATAGTTAGAAGCAAGGAGGGTTCTTAATGATCGAAAAGCTGCATTTACAAATGATCTGCTCATATTTTTGGAGATTACTGCAACTCATACGTGGAAAACTGGCCAACACAGACATGGTCAAAGTATAAATTCGACCCTCGTTAATAACTCAATTTTCTCAACAGCCGCAATGTCCAGTCGTTAAATTTCAAAGGAAAATAGAAAAACAAAGAACCAAGTGGGAAAAAATATGAACAAGTCTTGTGTTTCGAGTTCTTTTGAAGCAGATGAAATAACCACCAGGGTCGCAGTTTACTTGATCTTCTTCTTTGGACTCAACTGCAGCAAGTGAAAAAGAATATTTAGTCCACTGCATGCACACAACATCATCACCAACCAGAGGATTTATATGAACACACACAAGCCTGATTGCTATGACCACATTTCTTCTTGCGACAGTTCACGGCTCCAGGATGCAGCAGAGCATAACACCTAGCAATCAAAGAAAGATGTATCAATTTCAATGATTCACAATGCATGTTTGCATTTTGGTCAAATCGAGTTGTGGGGGTGCTGGATTCCTTCATGGTTTCAGTTTGGGTTCATTTTGCCATATCCCGAGGAAATAGAGAAATGCATCAATCACTGCAACCACAGGTAATTCTAGCCACTAGGCCCATCAAGTTATATCATTCACTCAAATCATTTGATTATACAAGCATCAATCAACATAAAAATGCCTTACGAAGCACAAAGAGTTCTTAAACAAGTCCCAAAAAATATAAGAGAATGAACTAATCTTAAGAACAGGCAAAGCATTATCATGTTCCATCCTCGAAAATCAACTGCAAGTAAAGTTTGGATCAGTTCACAAAATACGAATGGATAATTCAATTTCGGGAACTAGGATGCCCTCTTTTCATTCTTTTACTTCAAAAGAGGGTTCAACTTATAGTCCCATTGTTCACTAATACTTCTACAACATAGAAGAGAATGAAGTTTCAAACATGCTTAAACATGCAATATCTTTCGATTTAAAGATAGAGAAAGATCTTACCAATTACTTCTACAACATAGAAGAGAACGAGAGTTTAAACATGCTTAATCACACAATATCTTTCGATTTATAGATGGAAAAAGATCTTACCAATTACTTCTACAACAAAGAAGAGAACGAAGGTTCAAACATGTTGATGAGACACGATTTAAGATTTGTATTACCATACACGAGTTCAACAAACAAGGTTAACCACTAGAAAATGTTCATCCCCTCATAATTTCTCCCTAAATCCAGAAATCTCTTCTTCTTCGTGCATTTGAGCAAACTTATAAAGCTTTTCATTGAAAAGCACCAATGGATCCTTATTGATTAAATTACCATTGTCATCGTAACCATCCTTCAAAAACACCGCCCAATTCATCTCCGTCCCTGCCAAATAAAACGTCAGATAACACCCAAGGTATTGCAAGTTTGGGCGAAGATATTATGTGCTGTTCCAAACTCCCGTCTTGTGGTGAAATGCAAGCCATTTTGTTGTAACAGTGTTCGGCAGAAATTTCTAACAACATTAGAGCAGTTGGGCTTAGAATCACTCCTGTCGATCTTCTCCCTCTAATTCTTCTTAACCATGATCATATGCAAGCTTATTCTCTTATGGACATCAGGTAGAACTCCTCATTATTGTCCTTTGGGTTAAGTTTACGAAGTGTTAACTCGGAAAATAAATTCATACTCATTTCTAGACTTTCTAATGTTTGCTACATATCTTTATGTAGTTTGGACACCTTTCCATGTGCCGGAACAACGACGGCATGTGAATCTCTATACATGGGAGTCCCATGTGTTACCATGGCTGGTTCGGTACATGCTCATAATGTCGGTGTTAGTCTTCTCAGCAAAGTTGGTAAGGAGCTTCACTTTTTTTTGCTATTATTCGTTTATATATTTTTCATCGGACTTCTCTTATTGCCCTCTGGTCTTCCGATTAATTATCCGTTTGTGTTTTTTACGATTTACGTGCCACGGGCTAACTATATAGCATTTGGGTACTTACAATGTAGGGTTAAAACATCTGATGGCCCTGAATGAAGATGAATACATCCAACTGGCACTACAACAGTACAACTAGCATCAGACATCACTGCCCTCCATAATCTGAGAATGAGTCTTCGAGAGCTTATGTCTAAATCACCTGTCTGCGAAGGACAAAACTTTATCGGCGGTTTAGAGGCAACATACCGGAACATGTGCCGCAGGTATTGTAAGGGTGATGTCCCATCTTTACGGTTTATGGAAATGCTACAAAAACAGGATGCAGCGGACGAGTCAACTGTCAAAACCGTCGAACCAGAAAAATCCAGTCTCAACCGACACCTCCCTTGGACCGGTAAAGTCTTAACGGATTTAATCAGATCCCGTCACCTACTTTGAATCTCACTCCTGCTGACGTCTAAATTTCCGATGCATTGGTAGCATTTTCGGTGGTGTGTTCATTACCTTCTCGGGGTACAATCCTTCCGTAAGGCTCAACAATCCTAAGTAGTATTGGTATTCTCTGTGGGGAAAGAGGATGCTGGTGTAAGTCTGTAAAGTATGATTATATCGTGCTCGTTTCAGAAGAATAGCAGTTTGGGAAAAGATGATGCTATCGGCTACTGAATATGTCGTCGTTTTCGCGTCCCGGACTCGAGGAACCGTGGATATTCAGCCCTGGTTTGTATACTACGAGGATAGTTATTGCTTTGCTTTAGCATTGCAATTCTCTCTTTACTGGTGTTGATAGTGGCTCTGTTGGTTGGCTTGTCAAGGATCGTAGTTTTTCATGTATTAATGTCCATCCTATTGTCATGTTTTTCTTTGTTAATATTAGGAGTAGGATAAATCACACCATTCTTTACTAAATTATACCCTTTTTTATTTTCTCCTATTTTACTCATCGTACTTTAATTTTTTTTAATTTATTCACTAAACTTTCGAATTGCTCATATTTTGATCATTCTAAATTATTTTATTATTATTTTGATATGACATGACGTTTTTATTATTATTTGATATAAAATAATTGAAAATATAAAATAAAAACAGAAGGTGGTCGGACTTCATCGTCGAATATGGTGGTTGTTTCACCGAAAAATATCCAAAAACCCGTGAATCTCGACTAAAATATTTCGACTTCCTTACTTTTAATCTCCAGTTTGTGGGCTTTGGAGCAAGCTCTGATAAGATGGAGATCGAATTCGGACTCACAGTACGCGACGAATCGACCCATGAAATTTGTGACCGAACATCCACCATCTAGGGCGGTTTGCGGTAGTGTTCGACTACCTTCTGTTTTATTTTATATTAAATAATAATAATAATTACCAACAACCAGTTGGTTTAGTGGGATGAGACACTAGGTCCCTTAAGCAAGGTAAGGGGTTATAATCCTAACGTTTGCGAATGAAGCAAACTGGGTTGGGAAGGTTACCCTCGCTTCTGCAGTACCCGAACTGGATTAGTCGGTTAATAGATCGAATACCCATGATTAATTCAAAATAATAATAATAATAATTCATAGTTGTTTGAGGTCTAATATAAATAGTAGTTAAATGATCATTAAAGGCCAAAAGAAGAAGAAGAAAGATGGTGTATTTTTATTTAAATTAAAATCGAGTCAACCAAAACCCAACTTACCTCCCAAAATCCAACAGTGCCTAAATGGGTAATTGCCTAAAACCAACCTTATGAAGACGGAATTCTATCATCAACTTCCATACTTTAGGTATGGCATGTTGGATGGCATTCTTCCACTAGTACATTCTTTAACCATAATAACATGTTAAATTATATTGAATCAAATAAAATATTTAAATTTAATTTTTGTGTGCGTCAAATTTAGGTTCTAACACATAAACATAATTTAAATATTATGATCGAGCTGAAAAAAGATTATGTAAAAATTTAATCTTTTAATTTTTCAGGCTATGATGTATTAAATTACACGTTCAGTTTCTAAACTATCAATTTTGGTCAATTTTAGTATTTAAATTTTTATTTTTTTAAAACCATACCTAACGTTTAGTTTTTGTTTTATTTTAGTACTCGTTAAAAGCTTAACATTAAGTTTTGAAAAAAAATAGAAAGTTCATGTATTAAAACAGGCCAAAACTAATAGTTTAAATACTAAACACATTAAGTTTTTTAATGGTGAGATACTAAAATGAAACAAAAACTAAATGTTAGGTATGATTTTGAAAAAAATTAAAAGATCATGTACTAAAATGGACCAAAACAAATACTTTAGATACTAAACGCGAATTTACCCTATTTTTTATGTAGAAAAAAGCAACAAGTAAATGATAGAAAACAAATTGGCATAATGCCGTAATTAACCCCCAACATTTACCAAAATGATCATTTTATCATATATTCTATTTTTTTGGGAGCATTTGCCCCCCCATAACATTTCATTTTAGGATAAAAGGGCCCCTAAACTTGACAAAATAATCATTCTGTCCCATATTCTTTTTTTAGGGCACTTTAGCCCTTAACATTTCATTTTAGGTTAAAAAAATTCTATTTTAGAGCGCTAATTGTGTGTTAACTAATGATTTTCATATATAGAGGAAGTTTTTTGCCTTAAAGTGAAACGTTGAGGTTAAAATGCTCTAAAAAAGAATAGGGGCCGAAATGATCATTTAAGTAAACTTTGGGGTTATTTTTAGCATTATGCCAAAAATTTTATAGTTGAAATTGTACAAAAAGTTTGTGAAATTAAGTATCTCCACTCCGGAAAAATCATTATAAAGTCTCGATTTTCCTCTTAAAAATACATTTTCATTAAATTATTGTAAATTTTTGAACGGGATTAAAACGAAATTTCAGATAACCATCTATTATTTAATAAAATTTTAAATTTCTAATATACAAAGAAAGTAGGCGAGAAAATCCCCTTAAGAATGGTGGTTTAGTTAATTGTTTTCATAGTCAGAACAATAATATAGTTGACTACTTGCCCTCTATAAAAACTCAATCACCCATTAAACCATTTCCCATCACAAACAAAAAGCTTCATAGTTTTAGCTCTAAATTTTTCTCTCCTTTTCTTTTCTTTTCTCGCCAACCAAACAAACAAAAACGATAAAGAAAATGCCCAGGAGTGCGAGCGTCGACGTGGAGTCCAATGACGAATCGAAAGGCAAAACACCATTGATCGGCGACGGCAAAGAGAAAAAGAGCGGATTGAAGAAAGTAATGGGAATTATGGACTTCATCCTGAGACTTGCCGCCATAATTGCAGCTCTCGTCGCCGCTGCCACCATGGGAACCAGCAACGAAACGGCGCCGTTCTTCTCTCGGCTCTTCCATGTCCAAGTTAGCTACGGCGATCTTCCCACGTTCCGGTACGTCACTATATTATACAAAGATCAAACGGTTAAATCAATGGTTATCTTGCGAATTCCATTTTATCTATCAACGGTTGGTTATCGATATTCACCTCTTGATCCACATATAATTCGCTTGCAGGTTCTTCGTCATTGCAATGTCAATATTAGCAGCCTACCTCGTCCTTTCCCTTCTATTCTCCGTTGTCACCATAATCCGTCCTAATATAGTTTTTCTAAGAATCATCTTATTCATTTTCGACATCGTAAGTATTCAATCACGACACGACTCGAAAAATATTATAAAGTTATATATATATCATCTTATTTATTTTGAATCTCATAAGTATTCAAACACAACATAACTCGAAAAATATAACATCAACTTGATACATAAACATATCGAGATGCATACAAGACGGTTATTGGTGTCACTAAAACATCACTTGCGCCACTGTTTTTATTTTATGACGAAAGATATAATATCGCAACTTTTGCCACATTAGTAGTTTTGTTAAAGGTCAATGGTAACGATACATCTTTGTTACCAGGGTAAATTACATGTTTAATATTTAAATTATCAGTTTTGATTTGTTTTAATACTTAAATTTATAATTTTTTCAAAATTATACCTAAAGTTTAGTTTTTGTTTCATTTTAGTATCACTGTTCAAAATTTAAGATTAAATTTTGAAAAAAAAACTGAAAATTTAGGTACTAAAATATATCAAAATTGATCGTTAAGGAACTAAACATGTTAAGGTTTTAACTGCGAGATATTAAAATGAAACAAAAAAAAACTAAACCTTATGTATGATTTTTAAAAAATAAAAAATTTAGATATTAAAACGGATTAAAATTGATAGTTTAGGTACTAAATTTGCAGTTTACCCTTGTTACTATTATAGTGTATTACCGACGTTTTTTTTTTAATGGCAGGTGGTATTGTCCCTGGGCACGGCGTCTGCAGCGGCGGCTGCAGCCATCGTTTACTTGGCTCACAGTGGCAACGCTGACACAAATTGGTTATCCATTTGCCAACAATTTGGAGATTATTGCCGGAAAGTGAACGGAGCCGTCGTGGCGTCATTCGTCGATGTTGTGTTCCTCATGTTGTTGGTTTTGCTGTCTGGTTTTATATTCCTGAAAAGAGGCTAAAAATTAGAAGAAGAACATATAGACATTAAGCATGTGTCTTAGTTTCTTGTGTTTTATTCGAGACTTTCCTTTTAAGTGTGTTCATAATAACCATTAAAATGGTAATTGTACTTAAAATTGAAAAATAATTTAAGCTGTTCTGAATTACAGTGGTAGATTAATGGGATAATATTATATTGGGTACATGTATTTTAATAAAAAATTAATTCGATACTTGTGTTCTTAAATTGTTTAATGTAATACATGATTTTTTTAACTAAATGTCCAATATGATATTAGGGATGGACATGGGTCAGGTTGGGTTGAATTTTTAGTCCACTCGAACCGACCCGAGAACAATGACTCGTCCACCCGAGACCCGACCCGACCCGCATGAAACAAGATTTCACTCGACCCAATATATAACATAAAAACCCGACTCGAACATATATAATAAAAATATTATTTTTATTCAATAAAAATAGTGACTTAATTGAAAAGATAATATATAGAGGGGTATTATTGTAATTATACCTAAATTTATAAGATAAAATTATTTTTTTCGGGTCGGGTCGAGTATTTTTCACCCTAAATCCGAACTCGACTCGACCGACCCGAGCATCACATTAAAAAAAAATTCGACCCGACCTAAACCCGATTTTTTTTAAAAAAAAACCCAATGTTTATTAAATTGGTCATTTTGGCCCCTATTTATTTTTTTGAGCATTTAGGCTCTTAATATCTCATTTGGGACAAAAAAAACTAGATGAAAATCATTAGTTGACACACAATTAACACTCCAAAATAGAAGTTTTTAACCTAAAATAAAACGTTGAAAGCTAAAGTGCTAAAAAAAACAAGAAACAAAATGACTACTCTTTCAAATGTTAAGGACATTTTACCTTAAATTAAAACATTAGGAGGTAAAATATTCTAAAAAATAGAATAAGAAATAAAACGACCACTTCGATAAATTTTGGGAGCTAATTTTAATATTATGCCTCGTCAAAGCGTAGGTAACATATCTATATTTAAGAATAAAGTAATTTTAATTTTTTTATCATAAGTCAAATATGATATAAGTGAGAATGAAAAGTATAATTTAAGTGAATTTATTATATTTTCCCCAAAATTAATGAGGTTATTTTTGTCATTTGGAAAATCAGTAAAGTAAACATCTAACTGCCGAATATTTAGAGAAATTGATCGTAATGTTAAATCCCCAAAACAAAAGGTAAAGTTTCCCGGGAAAATCGTTAATAAAATCGAGATTTGGGGTCTACAGATTCAATTACTTGGATCGTAAAATGTCTCAGACTGGGAAATTGATGCCGAATCTCGATCAACAGAGCACGAAGATGCTCAATCTCACTGTTCTCCAAAGAATTGACGCTTTCATAGAAGAGATCTTGATCACTGCTGCTCACGTCACCTTTTACGAATTCAACATCGATAGCAGTCAATGGGTTCGCTTTCTCACAAATCTGTTCATAAGTTTTTTTTAATCTTATTTTTGTTCTTGATCTGGTTTGAAATTTGGATCGTGAAAGTGTTTGAAGTTCACTTTATTTTTTTTAGAGTCGAAAAGATGTTGAAGGATCTCTCTTTGTTGTTAAGAGGTAAAATAGGTTAATATTTTTGGGCCTTTTATTTCCGGCATTAACGTTTTTAGAACTTAGAAGCAAGTAATTAACTTAGGCAATTGGTTTAACTCATTGAAGTGATTGATGATTTTCCTTGGTTTTAAGGAGTACTCAACCTCGGTTCCAGTTCATTGTAATGAATCGGCGAAACACAGGTACAAGTTCTTAATTTTAATGAAAGAGTACACGCCTTTTTCTCTCCTTTTGCCTGATTTGGTATTAAAGTTGTTTTTAACAAACAGATAATTTAGTGGAGAATCTATTGGGAGATTTTGAGTACGAGGTTCAAGGTCCGTACTTGTTGTATCGAAATGCAGCACAAGAAGTTAATGGAATTTGGTTCTATAATCCCCGGGAATGTGAGGAAGTTGCAAGCCTGTTTAGTAGGTATAGCATCTTGTTTTTTTCCATTTATCGAACTTCCTGTTATCAACTTTGAAGTTTGAACTTGGACATGGTCATCCCAAGTGAATTTGAACATGGAGGTTTAGATCTTTTATATCTCATGTTTGTTCGTATTTCACACAGTTGTTTTTCCCCAAGAGGAAGGGTTCAGTGGTTGAAAGCCTTCCTTTGAGATGTAGTTTTGATTTAACTACAATCTTATGTATTTAAGTTTTAAGTATTCATAAATGTGCCAAGAAGATTCTAGATAAGTGGGGTCGATGCACTTTAATCTGTCAAACAGAGAATGTGTGTTTATAGCTCTACAACTATCAAGTGGTAAATTTTTGAATGATATGCAATATGGTATATTAATGTGACTTGAGAATTGATCACAATATATGAAACAATATTTTCCTTGCATTACAGCTACCTTTAAACTTCTATAGTTTAAGAAAACCATGAAAGCACTCAATAAGATATATACAAGTGTGTTTATTGAGATATTGTTTCGAGGTATTATTAAATAAAAAACCCCTAAAAATTATTTGTTTAGACCAATACCTCCCAAACAACATTAGTTAGAAAAATACCCCCCAAACTGCCCACGTAGGACTACCTCGCGTCCTATAAAACGCTTTTAATGTACCTTGTGTTTTATAGGGCACGAGGCCCATCAACATTTTCAGATAAAGTCATTTAATATTGGATAAAGGCAATAATAAATGCATGAAACTTGTTTTTTGTAAAACGCGAGGTTTGACCTCGCTTTTTGCATAACACGAAGTCATCCTACATGGCAGTTTGGGGGTATTTTTCTAACTAATGTTGTTTGGGAGGTATTGGTCCAAAAAAATAATTTCCGGGGGGTTTTAATATAATAACGTCTTGTTTCGAGAAGAGAAGTACTTGGTCTGTTTCTTTTGGTGACTTTAAATACTAACATTTTATTTGTTTTTTTCTTCACAGAATACTTAATGCATACTCAAAAGTTCCTACAAAGCCAAAAGCATCTTCAAGTGCAAGGTAATTACTTTGATGATGCATCTGTAACAAAGCCTTAGGACATATTAACTGTTAAATTTCCCAATGCAGACTGCGGGATGTTTCCAGTTTAGCCTGTTGTACTTAATGCTTTTGGTTCATTATGCCATTTTGAACAAAAATACGTCTTGCCAATTGTCTGTGATGCGTGTGTAGAGGGTCCTTTTGGTGTGAGTGAGGCAGCATTGCAAACAATTGAAGGATTGAGGCAAAGGTGGATGAGATTTGGACTAGAGTGGATTGTGGGGTGCCATATTTTGTGGCAGTTCAAGAAAATAGGTGAAAGTGAAGGGAAAATGTAGGAACTGTAAAATTGGAACTGGTAATATATGCTTGGGAGTAGATGAGTAAGGCAGGAGCTTTATTTGCAAAATTTATTCTTATAAGAATTTGCCTAAACTCCCATATAATAGGTTATATAGTTCATCTAATTCAGTAGAACACTTTCAAGATCTATTATGAGTCATATTGTTAAATTTGTAGCAATGATTGTCATAGAATTTGATGATCTTGATATTGATTCTTGGAAGTCCACCATCCTTGTTCTTGACTAATATTGCTCCACCTGGTAGTATCTACTGCCTTAATCTCTTTGTCTTCCCATTGTGTCCAAAGTGTCCTAAGCTTTTTTGTTGTTCTGGTGTAGTGAATTTGAGGAACTAGAAGCAGTTCCTAGCATGTCTGTAATCGAAGGCCCCTTGGAGCCACCAGCAACTGCCTCTCCTGCTATTGATGCTCCTCAAGATTCATCATTTGTTAACTTCTTTAGTGTATGATGATTGTGACACTTGCACTTTTTATTTTCAGAGCCTGATATTTATCTGGTGTCTCTGATTTCAAGGTTATTTGGTTTTGCTATTTGCAGGCTGCTATGAATCTTGGAAGTAATGCTCCAAATAGTACAAAACCAGCACATCCTTACCATTCTATCTCGACCATCCCTCTTTCTTCTCATGCACCATCTTCCATATCGACTCCTGCACTTGCTCCATCAGTGTCATCCCTTCCTCTTTCTGCTCAACCTTCGCTTGATTCTGTAGCTAGCGGCAACTGGGTGGCTAATCTTGTAAAGCCTTCTTCATTTTTTTGTACCCCCTTCCTCATCCTCATTGATGATGCCACCTCCCTCTTCATCAAATCCAACCATTTCTGCTCTTCATCCACCTGTCATTCCACAACGTCCTTATGGCACTCCAATGCTTCAACCCTTTCCACCACCTACTCCACCTGCATCTCTCACTCCTGGTGCACCATCTTCTTTGCAGAACGGATCTCTGATTAGCAGGGATAAAGTCCGTGATGCACTACTAATGCTTGTTCAGGTGTTTTATATATTTTCATCTATTTTTCACTTGGAATTTTAATTGATATCACCTCATTTTCAAGTGTAATGGCCGATTAACATTTGGCCAAAAGATAATTATAGAGGATCAATCAATGATGCACATTTTGCAATTCCTACTCATGATGAAGTCTTCTAATTTGCTTCTACTTATTACTCTTTGTTTTATTCTTATGCTAGGATGATCAATTCATTGACATGTTCTATCAGGCATTGCAGAAGGTGCATCACATGTGAACACCCTAGAGTCGATCCTCAAGAAACTTCATTTTTATGTTCAACGTGCACCTTTTTCTGTTTATTTTCTTTGATATGCTATCTAAACTTTGACACTTGATTTGGACTACACACCAATTGTTTACTGAGGACATGGTGTTGAGGCATAAAAAAGAATGTGAATCATGTTTGCCGACAAGGTAAAAAATGCTGCTCACAGTCATCGACAGACCTAATTTATAGTGTTGAGATAAAGAAAAGAGTAAGAATCGGAGTCTCTTAAACCCGAGCTTTCTCCTCCTATCACCATTCTGTCTGCACCTTTAACTCTCACCTTCAGGTGGGAGAGATCCGTTGTCATATTTGGTGTTTGTTCTTTTTTTTCCACTTCTTGAGATGTGCATCATATTAGGGTGGTCGATTGCTGCAGCCGTGAGAGTGTGTGACAAGGGGAATAATCACTTCGGTTTTTCATTAGAGGACCTGATTCCTAGTACACCATAGTACAAGTTGGAGGTGCAATTGACATTGAAAAAAAGTTAGGGTCAATTTGGTGTTTGGAGGTGCAATGGACATTGGAAACTTATAGTTTGGTTTTAACATCTTTATATATTCTCATTTGGACTGTAAATTGTATGAATTTATATAACTTTTTTGTTTTTATTCTCTTTAAAGGCATAACATGCATGATGTAATCTCCCTAGATGTAAATTATGTTATGCTTTGCTGCAATAACTTTGTTAATCAGACACTTGAGGAATGTAGCCTTTGTTAAATTACTATGTGACAAATATTAGATTCATAAACTATCGGAACCAAATTTGACACACAAGATAACAATGCTGTCACACTAGCCAAAATGTTGTAAAAATCAGACTGGCGATTGAATCGACCAAAATTTATTATCGGATTAATCAATTCGAGTTGTTAATTGAGTGTTTAAAATAGTATGTTTTCCCCATAAACTCTAATAAATGATTCGATTTATAAGATAGTATCTGTCATAACTCTTAACTACGAATGTTAATACCCAACATTTTTTATGCTCTCAGAATTTAAAAAAAATAACAATCATCGAATTCGTTTGGTTTTGTAGTTTTGGTAATACAATTTCCATAAAAAAATACACTTATATCTAATTTTAATCAATGTACGAATTTATCAGTCAATCTAAGGCCTCGAACAATAATTTCTCACATTTACCACCAAAATTCACAATGCAATAAAGGAAAAAAGCACTAAATCTTCATTTATTTTACAAATAAAGCAAAACCCAGAATTTTAAACCCTGAAAAGGCGTCCTATTATCCTTACTGCTCTTGGGCGTTCTTTCTTTTGAGGGCGGCGACTAATCGTCGAGCATCTTTCGAAGCCGGTCTTTGACGAATTGGCTACGGGCTTTGGCGCATTATTGTTGAGGACCAATATTGACAAAGGAAAGGCAAGCTCCGGTGGCTATAAATGAAGCTCCGGTGAGGCAGAAACCATTTTGTTAGTGCTATTTGATTCGCCGTCGGCGAATATTACCAAAGCACAAATTTTTGTTTGGTTTTTGTTTTCTCTGTCGCCTACGGCTCGGCTTGGCTTTTGGTTCTTTTTGTTAACTATTGAGCCAATGAAGCAGTGCCACGTTTTGTTTACTTATGTCATGAAATAAATTTTGGTTTAACTGACAAAATTCCCCCTTAATTATACCTGATTTTCAAATTGGAACTTACTATTATTTTTCAAAAGTGACCCTAAAATTTTAATGGCTTAATATATTTTTTGGCGCCTAAATTATACCTTAAATTGACTTTTGGTACCTAAGGAATTTTTCTTTGAAAATAAATACCTAATGTTTTTTTCGTTACACTTTTAGATGCTTACTGTTAAAAAGAAATTAAGTGACATGTGTCACTTAACGATTTTTAATAATAAAAAATTATGCATCAAAAATAAATTTAAAGTATAATTTAGACACCTAAAAGCGTATTAAGCCAATTTAGTTTTGGCCTTAGCTTCAAAATACCATAACTCAAGTATCGTGTCTTGTATAGGATTTCTTAAAATTCCTTTTGCGTCTTGTATTAGAGTTTTGAGAGATATAATTAAATATTAGCTACGTAAGTAAAGTGTATTTGAGTTATCGAGTTCGAGAGAATAGTCTATCTTGTAATAACTTTCACATAGATATTTCTTTGATTATCATATTTTTTTAAGGGTAAAGTATGTAAATGGTCCTTCAATTATAGGGTGTCACTTTTTTAGGTCCTATTACCATTAAAAATTATAAAATGACCCATCGATTATAAGATGTTGCTTTTTAAGTCCCCTGACTATTAAAAGTTATAAAATGGTCACCCGACAATTCATTGTGTTCCAAACTCATCATTTTTCGTTAGAAAATGATGACAATTTGATTTATATATGATATAATCTGATCTGAGAATCTAAAAAAATATCATATCCCATCCAACAAGTTAACATCAAACTCAAACTGCTATCAGTTTTAACGAAAAATGACGAGTTTGGAACACAATGAATAATCGTATGATCGTTTTGTAACTTTTAATAGTCAATTGACTCAACAAAGCAATATCCTATAATTAAGGGACCATTTTTTAACTTTTAATTGTTAGAGGACTCAATAAAATAACACCCTATAGTTGGGGACCATTTGTATACTTTTACCTTTTTTGTTAATTAGAGAGTTGTCTACGTAATATCTCATGTTTCTTCTACTATTATCTCCATTTTATTTTTATGCTTCTTATTAAGGAAATCTAAAAATAGAATTGTTCAACTTTTCTTTTAAAAAATGATTACTTTGATTAAAAATTATCAACGTTTTTCACAATTTCAAAAATTAAATGTTATCCTACTTTATCATAAAAAGTACATTCACACACAGAGAAAAATATTGAAAGTTATGGTACAATTTTCTTAAATTTTACAAAGAAATTTTAAATTCTTATAAAATTTAGATAGTTTCTTTATATTTTTTATTAATAATATAATTTTGTTCGTCACTTGGTATAAAAATCTTGCGTTCGTGTCTGCGTACATTTTCACTAGAAAAATATATAGAATTATAATCTTCGTTCTTTTTAATTGAATAGTTTATGGTGATTATAGTATCTGATAATAATCATTCTTATCTATTGACAACACACCTAATTGCTTGAACACAGAACCTCAAATAAAAATAGCATTCTCTTTAACTTCATATATATGAACACATCTAAATCTAATTATTAGATAATATTACTTCAATAAATTTAAATTATTATTTTTATATAAAGTTAATTATATTTCTATTAAAATTTTGGATAAATTAGACATTGATGTCGGTGGTCTTCCCTCTCAACCATCCTATGTCAACATCCGGGAAAATGCATGCATCAAACAATTCAAACTTTGCACGACATGTAACACTCTAAATTTCGGGCTAGTAGTTTCGTATTTATCCGAGAGACTTGTGGACCTTGTGGATTTTGAAATTAAGTCATTGGACTTAATTTGGTTGAAATTAGGCCCATTTAGCCATAGAATGGAGGTTTATAAATTATTGAAAGATGATGGAGGACCTATAATGCAAATTTTCCATTTTTAAAAGATGAAAACTTTTATACCTTTCATCTCCATCTTCTCTCCATTTCTCTTGTTTCCTTCTCATTTCCTCCTCCCATTTTTCTCTCCAAGTTTTATAGCAAAGGCTTTGAGTTCTTTGGTTGCAAGAAAAAATGATGGGTTTTCATCCAAGTATCAAAGGAAAGGGTGCAACTAAGCAAAGAGCCTCATTTTGGGATTCAAACATTAGGGTAGTGTATTTCTAATCCTTTGGAGTGTTAAGCTTTCATAAATTTCAAGAATTTTCTAAGATTTGGATATTTGAATATTTTAGGGTTTATCTTTAAATTCATAATCAAGTCATATTTTAGGTGTAAAAAATGTGTTTTTATGACACTTTAAGACCCTAAATAACTACCCACAATATTAGTAAATTATTTAGAACAAAACTATAGCCTTTAGATTGATTTTAGTTGTTTTCTCGAGCTTAACTTAACTATTTCAGGGTTTAAGTATCGATATTGGGATGAACAATATTGATATTAGATGAATTGAGGCAAAAATTAGGGATTTTAGACAGGGAATATCGATGCTGCCAGAATAGTATTGATACTGCCCATATAATATTGATACTCAGGGTGACAGTATCAATACTGATCCCCATTTTCAACAGCAAAATACTTTTTTGGTATCGATACTCATAGGAGTATCGATACTTGACCCTAGGGTATCGATACTACAAGTATAGTATCGATACTAACCACCTTGGATGATCAGATTTGACCCTGATTAAGATCCGTAAGAGCTAGGGGTAGTTCGTAAGGATAAAACTTAGCCCGTAAGGGACGTAAATTACCAAATGGGCCCAGCGACACTCGTAGGAGTGCGTTACAACTAGATTAATTATAGTTGGCATATCCAAGTATTTCAATTGAGCTCGTAGCATGTATCTATGGATAAAGGATCATATCATAGTGTAACACCCCAATTTATGGGTTATGTTTCTTATAGATTAAATATGAAGTTGGTTGGAAAATAATTGTTTTATTATACCATTATTTTATTAAACAAATGGAGGATAATGAATTAGGTTGAAGTGGACAAATTATTGGGTGTGATGGGAATAAATTATGATAATGGCATTGCTGGAATCCATTGTTTCCGGCTTTCATTTTCGGCTAGTATCCACCATTGTTTCCAGCAGAATGGTCCAAATGAAATTATATATATAAAATAATATAGTGTTGGATGATGATTGCAGTGGTTGAGTAGCCTCATATCATTGCTCAATATTTAACTATTTTCTGGGGATTATCTGTTGGTAGGTTCGAGGAATGGAAGCAGCCACTACAACAGCTTCATCTCTGCAGCTTTCCTCAGCTGCCACCATTGATTTTCTGTTTTTGGGTTCCGAATATGACCATGGTTCCTACTAAAAACCTTCCTCATGGTGGTGGCGAATTTTATGGCTTTTGTGGTGGCGACAGTATATACACGGAGAGTTTCGGGCATATGAGCCGTTTTCGTGGTGGGTATGATTTTCACACCGAAGCTTGCTTAGGAATATGATCTAATTTATAAGCTAACTGAATCGATAAAGATGAATCGAGAACTAATAGCGTTAATGAGGCGGGCTCCAACTCCAAGGATAAAGCCATCACCGAGGAAGAGCCGACGAGGGCAGACGTCTCGTAGCTCACAGTACCGTGGCATCATATTTTACCGGAGAACTGGCCGGTGGGAATCACCTATATGGGATTGTGGGAAACAAGTATATTTAGGAGGATTTGACACTGCCCATGCTGCCGCCAGAGTATATGATCGAGCTACAATCAAGTTCCAGGGAGTTGATGCCGATATCAAATTCATTTTGAGCGATTACAACGAAGACAAGAGACAGACGAAGGCTTAATGAAAAAGTGAAATAAGGAATAAGGAAATGATATGTGGGAGAAGGAAAAACATTCTAATGGATTTTATTAAAACTACGTAGTTTAAAGGTGTATGGAAAGGGAGGGACAAATCATGACTTCAGTCCTCTATTGTTAGTAAGATTCTGACTTTGTCCTCCAGTCTTAGTATAATTTCAACCAAGCTTTGATAGTTTAGATTAATTCGTTTTAGCCCTGATTTTAGTATTTAACTATTTTTGATGGCAACATTAGTTTTCAAATTTTACCAATTGAGTCCTCAAATTATTATTTAGATTCTAATAAGTTATTTTTATGGAGAGGGAAATTATTTGGATACGAGTTAGTAATTTTGATGGCTTGGATCGTGAGGAAAATATTGGAAGGTAATTTCAAGATCGAGGGCATTCGAATAGAGTTTAAATGGTCGATCAGTATGGCACGGAAATTGAGGTAATACATTACTACATCTTTATGCTTTATAGAACATGTTGGTATTGGTAAATGCATGAATGAAAATGTTTGGTCTCATATGTGTAATTAATGAAGTTCTACACTTGATACGAATGCAGTAGAAAGTAGGTAACTGAATATGGCTCAGATGACTATTATAAGAATTGGAGGACAACTGGAATTAAATTACAACTTCTGGAATTAAGTGATAAAAGAGTCAACCATGGATATGTAGATTATAATTTATCTCATTAAAGGTACTTGAATGATAAATTATAAGAATATTTCGATTAAGTAAAATTATGAAAATACCCATATGTTGTAAAATGACAAGAATTGTCCCTGGAAGTTGATTAATAACTCTGAAAAGACTTATTGGTTTGATAAAACTACATATGTGCATAAGAAATGTTAGTTTTAATTGGAAAATTTGGTACAGAAAAATTCATGATATTTCATTTGTAAAATCTTAGAAGGTACTTGACCCGAAAATATCTGAGTTATGAGTAAATACCTGAAGAATAATTTATCGGGGGTGTTCTTTTGTCAGAATTATTCGAAAGGACTGAAATAAATAATAAGATTGAATTTAATAGTAAGATCGGACGGAAGGAAATGATTGAAATACAATGAATCTATAAAATGACCAAAGTACCCCTGTAATGGAAATGACTCAAGAATATCACCAAGCTCAGGAATGATTGGATATCCTCGAGCTCTGAAAAGAATGGAATGAAACTGAGCACCAACATGACCAAAATACCCTTATAGCCTAGAATAAGTAAATGTCTTGGATTAATTAAGAGATCCAAATAAACATGGATGTTGTGCTGCCATTAAAAGTTATGGAACGCAGCTTAATTGGTCAACCAATGCTATTGCTATATCATTACCTGAATGATATAAGTACCACTTGAATGTTTGTTCGTCTCCTTAAGTTTAGATCGATGATAATTTTGGAAGTAAACAGTTCAACTCAACTCTAGATTGCATTCAGTACTAAGAATTGAATATTTATTAGACAAATCAACCACGAAGACTGTAACATCCTCAATACCGGGTTAGTAATCAAATTGTAAAGTTTCAGAATTTGGTAACTAAAGAAGAACAATGGATTAGTTCAATGATTTATTTGGAAATAAATCCTAAAAGTTGTTAGTAATTATTAGATGAATTAGAGGGCAAAGTGGTCTTTTGAATTGGAAAGGATAAGATAAAGATTTATATGGGATAAGCTTGAGAGATTTCTCCAGAAACTCTCTTTTCTTTTCTTCTTCTTCTTCATTTCCTCCTGTGTCTCCCAAGCAAAGGTAAGTTTTCTGATAAGTTGATTTTAAGTATGAGTTTTGATCATTAGATGATAACTAAGTTTAAGGAAAGATTAAGTTATCTTAAAATCAAAAGATAAAGGAGTTAGAGAAGATTAAAGATTTGGAGTTCTTGAGTAAAATATTGAAATAGAGTTTATAATAATAATTGAAAGTTAAATTTGACTTGTCATCAATTTAGTTAAGACATATGAAGTGTTACAAGTGGAATTAACACATGTTGTGAAATTAAGGTAATTCTTGAATTTCATATGAATGATAGGATTTTGAGGTTTAAGATGAAATAAATGAGTACATATTGGTTTAAGTATGTGTACTGGAGTTAAGAATGAAAAGGGGGATGAAACATGAAGGATTTAAGCAAAAATGGATGAATTTTTGGATTCAAAAAGAGGATTCTGGGCAGAGTGCATCGATGCACATTCAATGTGTATCGATGCATCAAGGTTAAATCCCAGAATTGGTTGAAGGTGCATCGATGCATAAGGAGTGCATCAATGCACTCATTTAAATTAAATGAACATCGAATGCCATTAATGCATCGATGCATAAGGAGTGCATCGATGCACCTGCTTAAAATACAAACATCGAATAGGATTTATGCACCGATGCATGGGTAGTGCATCGATGCACCCGTCAAGTGATGCATCGATACATGGTGTATTGCATCGATGCATGCCTTCAATAAGAGATGGAAATAACTTTCTTTTAGCCTAAGGATTTATAGTTTAAAATATATCAATTCGTATGCTGATAAGTATCAATGTATTACTATGTAGATTTAGAGCGTAATCTCATTCCAGAACAATCGAAGGATTAGAATCGAATCAAAGCAAGGCTAAGGTGAGTACAATTTAAATTGTACTTATGTATCAAATAAACATTGGCTTGCGATGAGTCAGTGATGGAGTTACTATAGTAAGAAGGGACTTCTAAAATTTTATTTGAATTGTGATTCTTATGTTTGCATGAGTACATGAAAATGGGTACATATGTTATATGTATTGCATCTGTTACATGAATTGAGTGAATAAATGTTAGTGTGATGAGTTATGTGAACTGGTTTAAGTAGTGGATGTAATTATATACGTTATGTAATATAAATATGTGATTTAAGACATAAGTTAAAGAACTATATGATATGAGATAAGATAGACACATGCTATTATAAGTGACTATAGGATCACGAACTATGTAAAATAGCAATGATTTATATGATAACAAGAGAAATGATATAAATTACATGAGTTAGATATATATATATATATATATATAGGAATTTGTATAACCAACTTATGAGATTAGATGAAAAGTGAGATAAGTTAAATAACTTTGATTTATAGGACAATATAAGAATAATATATAAATGAGGAGACATTGACAGAAGTGATTATTTGAACATGTAAAATAAGTTATACGGAGAGGATTTATGAGCTGAAATGAACATATAATATATGAGTCATATGGTAAAGATTTATGAAGCTATAGGAAAATGTTATGGGAACTATGTGATGATAAGTTATGAGAAAATATTTATATAGGTAACAAGCTATGTGAAATTGAATTAAGTAATATATGAAACTAGAATATAATTAATGTGAAATAAGTGATTAGGTAAAACTGTGAGAAGTTATAGGGCATTGTTATTCGAAGTATATGAAAGTATGTATATGGATACCTGTATAAGTTTATATGTTATACTATGTGCTATGTGATGTATATATGAACATATGTGAACAAGATATGACATGCGAGTTTACATGAACAAATGAGGAATGATATAAGTCATATGAAATGATCTACGTGAATATATACACTTGTGATACATGTGATATGATATGAAATATATGGTTACACATACATATGGTTACACATACATATGGTATGTGACAGAATAGAAAGAACAAGTGATATGAAAAGTATAAATGATAATGCCCATGTTATATGATATGAGAGCTAGTGGTATAGTTGGTATGCCAAGAGTCGAGGGTATATTAGTCTTTCGGGACGTATCCAGTGGTTCTTCGAGACGTATCCAATGGTCCTTCGGGACGTATCCAGTGGTCCTTCGGGACGTATCCAATGGTCCTTCGGGACATATCTAGTGGTCCTTCGGGACGTATCTAGTGGTCCTTCGGGACATAGCAGTCCTTCGGGATGAATACTGAACAAATGTTCGGTGCCCCATGAGGGAATTTATACGAGCTGTGGTGACAACATTAGTGCACAACATCAATGTACTCACATACCTTAAGTTCTCACAGGTGTATATGAGCTAATAAAAAAGACAATAACAAATTCAATACATATGATGCATATGCTTTTGGTGATATGGAATATGTTCCATGAATTATATGATATTATGTATGTTTAGTTGTGAAATGATAAATGTGTTATATGATATACAGAAATGATAAATACAAGATAATATGATAAATAGAGATTTCGATAATGATGGTATATGTACATGTATGTATTTTGATATATGAAATGTATTATGATTTCTATTATATGTTTTATATGCCTCACTAAGTCAACTACTTAGCGTGTGATTGTTTCACACGTAGGTACCAAGAAGAGGAAGAATGATAAAAGTTAAGCAAGACAGGTCAGTTCCTCCTTTCCAAAGATCAGATCAGAAAAGAATTGTATAATATGTATTTTATAATACGAATGGTAGTTGGCATGTAAATAAAGATTTGAATTTGATATGCTCTAATTAGTTTTTCTAAAATCATATGAATATCTTTTATGTAATTTAGTCAGTTGTTTTAATAAAAGTTTTAAAATTATTCACTAGTTTGTACAAGTACTGGTTTTGAAAAGTCAATGTGACACCTCGGATTCGTATCCGGGTCGGGTACGGGTTGGGGGTGTTACAAAGACCAAACTGAACTGAATGAAAGTACAATATGTATCCGAAATTCAGAAAACGTCTGAATTACTCTGGAAAACTCTGAAGTAACCAGGATAGACTTGACTGTTAAATGCAATAAGTAATCTCAATGACTAAAGATTAAATAAGTGATTTGGATGAGTCTGGAAACGTTAATGAACATACATGATGTAATGTTCTTATGGGTCAAGAACTACAAATTAAGCACAACAACATTTCATGATATCGTGGAAGCGTGGAAACAAAATTAAGAGCATTGGAATATCTGTTAGTTTCTTTAAGATCTATTCAGCGATGATTTCGAAGATGATCCATGGATAAGAATTTTTTGTATTAAAAAGTAAATACCTTGAAAGGACAAGGAGTTGACAAGCATTAGTTCTGGGAACTATTCATCTAAGAGTTGTTCGATAATCCGATCAATTGACATAGATTTTAAAGGTCTTGAATCTTCGTTTTTCCTTATCAGCTCAAATCACTCTGGTCATATATGAAAAAACAAGTAACTCAGATGTAAAGGATTCTGAATACTCTTCTGATTACGTAGAGCTTCTGAAAAGTGTCCGAATAAGATGATCCCGATAAATCATATTATGAATAACTGATGATTCTGTCAGTTAATAAACTCTTCCAATAGTGATTATAACTTCCGACATTCTATTGGTAAACTGAATATTCATGTTTCTCTACCCGATAAGATTATCCAATATCTCTGAATAATATCTGTAAAGACTAGTGTGTTCCCTAATCACATAAATATTTTATATGATTTCTGACTTGAATTCTATTATGATACATGACCTGGATTCTGATCTGGATTCTGTTCTGATATCTTATTTGAATTCTGTTTTGATTTCTGATATTTTCATTTACCAACGGAGAAATGTTTTATCTGGGGGGTTTATTGTTGGAGGAAGATTATCTACATATTCCTCGGCTTTGTGCTCAGGTTCTAAATGGCATGTGCGGTTGGGTGTATGGTTATGGGGATCCTACACATTTATGATGTGAACGGATGGGGGTATATATATATATATGTTTTAAAAGAAACTGTATATTTTTACTAGTTTTACAGGAACACACTAGATAACCTATTCTGATCTCCAGAACTCAGTCATCCGAAATATTTATCTGAACTGAAAGCTCATTGTCCGTTACCACATGAAATATCACTAGGATCTCAGCTTAGCCTAAAAATCTGTAAATATATGAACCAATAAGGAAATATATGTTTATCTGTATCTACACGTTCTTCAGCATCATCTAGTAGTTCTGTATTACTGAGCTTTTCGAAGCTCACTCTATTACTCACCATTGCAGGTTAAAAGGATTTCACCAGTGCATCTATCAACTTCAGTAAGGGAGTTCTTCCGGCGTTGTTTGCAGAGTACGGTACATGTGATTAGGGGTCATGTAATTGTATTTTGTTTTATATACGAGTCTGAAAATCTGTTTTATTTTTAAATAGTGACAAATGATTTTATGAGTTTACATGTTTTAATAAAAGTTTTAAAATTTCTATTTTTTTTGTGGGTCGCTTCGGCGACCCTAATATGACACTCCAGATCGGATCGGGTTACCCGTATCGATCTGAGGGGGTTACACATAGGGTGTCCAGCAAGCAGTATGACCAAATAAGCAGATTATGAAACATCATATCCGTTTACCACAAGAACGACCGAGAGTGTTAAACGTACAATTATCCCCTTAATTTGAGGGCGAATTAAGGGAAAATGTAGTAATAGCGAATAGAATACCGCTACTTAGAAATGTACCTAAGTCAAATATCAAGCTAGCCAGTATCGCAACTAGTAAACAACAAACACAGTAGTCACTATGAAGTCACGAAATTTGTAGAGACTTCTCCAGAGTTAGAGAATGAATAAAATGCCCTTAAATAGCGAACAACCAGATCAATACAGATTATCAGTAGTAACAGACTAAAATGAGAGAACAAGCGAGATAACAACTAGGAGGAACAATAAATGAGAATAGAAACAACTTAATATATCTAAATAGATAAGTATAAAAAACTAGCTTGTGTGACACTCTGGAAACAACTAGGAAACCCAAGTTACTTTAACAGTAGGGCGATTGTCTTGTTTGTTAGAATGTCCAGGTATATACCAGTCAGTGCCAAGGCACTTTAGATGCCAGCTGGACGCAGATGCCCCAAGACTCGAAAGAGTAAGTTGGCGGGGTGTACGTTTTCGATATAGCTTTGGATCTCACCCCATATATCCAAGGGGTTGAGTGTACGTTTTCGATGTAGTTTCAGGTCTCACCCCAGACACTTAAGGGTATCTTAGGTAGGCTAGAGGGGTGTGTGAGCTCTGAGATGCAACCCCTCAGCCGCATTATAATACATACCTCAACTTGTGTGTTAAATAGTAGTATCAGTGTTGCATTTAGATAATGCATAGTAGAATCAATATTGCATTCAGATAATGCACAACAGAGTCAGTATTGAATTCAGATAATGTTCAACATGGTTAGTATTGCATTCAGATAATGCATAGCAGAGTCAGTATTGCAATCAGACAATGTAGAGTAGCGCCAATATCACATTTAGATAATGCACATCAGATACAACTAGTAGGGTTAGATACCCTTTAGAGGTGTACTGATGGTTAAGCACTTAGCAGAGTATTTAGGGAAGCACGAGAGTCTTAATTCAGTGATTGAACAACTAAGCCTTAAGTAGATAACACCTGATCTAGATCATACATGTACCTACTGCTTAGTACCATGTCTTCATCATGCTTGTATTTATGAAATTCTTATGCTGCTCTAGATTAGTGATTATACTGTTGGGCCTTGTAAGCTCAGCCTTTAGATGTTTTTCGTTGGCATGTCAGTAGTTTGAGTAGTTCGTGGAGCACCATCGCAACAAGACTTCCATAATCTCATTCAAAGTACTGTATCGTAGCTTAGTGGGGATATGTATTCATAGCACCTTACTCATGTATTTAATATATGAGCTCAAAGTTTGTATTATTTTGGTTTTAAATTATGTGTCACAGAGCTCCGATTTTGTAAAATGTTTTATAACAATTATTTATGTTTATTTATGATATCATTCAGCATGTTTGAAAAGAAAATAAATATGTTTTAAAAATCAGAGATTATCTCGATAGTCCATTGTGGGACTTTAGGCCCAATCGAGTTTATGGTGTTACACGCCACGTCGATTTTCCTCTTTGTACAATACCAAGAGATTTTTTCTGAATAATAAATGTGTTTTCTGGTACCATCGAATACTCGAATTTTATCAAACATATTTGGGCAAAATTTTTTTAATAAGGCTTTGGAAAAAATGAATTTGTTTATTTAAAATGATTTAGATTTCATTTTTTTAAATAGGATAAATGTTAGACGTCGAAAATTAATCAAAACACTCGTCTTTCAAAAAATGGGTAGAGCATTTGTTGTTTTCAAGTTTTTCATCGTCGGAGCCTCATGATTAACCTCCATCTCTGTTGAAGTTATACCTGACAGAAATACCATGATTGCCTCCTGAAGACGTCAAAGATGAAGACGTCGTGTAAATATATATCATATTCATGCCTCTCACCAGTATAAATATTACGGATAAAAATATTCTGATTTAGATGTAGAGTTATATTTACACTAATGAGAGATATGAACATGATATATATTCTAAGTGAAAAATAAAGACATAAGATTACTATCTTTCCCCTCAAACTATAATTAGGTATATGGTAGTTGAGATTTTCACTGAGAGAAATTTCAGTAAATTTTATTGATACATTATTTGTCATAGACAAAGGTACATGAAGAAAGAGAAAGATTTTAGTTCCTCCTAAAAATTTTGATTTAATAGTATTTTAGGTCTTTATAATTAAATTAAACTTTTATTTTCTATGATTTTTTAAAGATTAATATCTAGTAAACTTATATTATTTTAATTCTAAATAATTTATCTATCACAATATTTGATCTTAACTACGTTGTAGTTGTCATCCGAACCAAGTGAATTCGGTGGTAAATGAATTGTTGTTATTCTTTGAGCTCCCGGGTTCGACCATAAAAAATATCAGGGGTAAGAGCATTTAATGTCAAATGGTAGAAAATTCTTTATGAATATATACTACCTTATATTTATCACAGATTAATAAAACGATCCAATTTGTCTTCGTCATAAATGTGAAGGTAGTCTGTCCAAATTAAACATTGAATAACGCCCTCTTTACAACTAAAACGTTTAGTATGTTTTCTTCACGTTTTTTTCATATTGTCTGAAATGAACTAAAAATATGGGATTTACTTCCTATTGTCTTCTATAAACAGTCTAAGGATTCATTGTCGGGAAAACATCAGGGACAGGGCAATTTGCTGCAACAAAAAAAATCAAGGTTTCAAGTTGATTTTCTAACAACATTTGTTTAGAGCAAAGATGGGTTCCAATTGTTTGGTGTCTTTCAACGTAAAAAGGTAAAATAGTCGCCTCGTTTTCTCAATTATCTGAAATATATACCGACGGTAAAATTTCCATCCTTTTTAAATACTCCGTCACTTTACCTTAATCGACGGAAACTTACCAATTTTCGATAGAACTTCATTTGTTTTCAGTGACGGTATCCGGTGACAAAAGTATTTATAATGATTTTTATTGCCATTAATCAATTTTTTAACGAAAAAAGAGGAGTTTAGAACACAATGAATAATCAGATGGTCATTTTGTAACTTTTAATTGTCGAGGGGCTCAACAAAGTAAAATCCAATAGTTAAGAGACCATTTTGTAACTTTAAATAGTCAGAGGACTCAATAAAGCAACACCCTATAATTGGGGACCATTTGTATACTTGACCCTTTTTTAATTAGAGAGTTGTCTACGTCTCATGTTTCTTTTACTATTGTTTCCATTTTATTTCTATGCTTCTTATTAAGGAAATCTCAAAGAGAAGTGTTCAACTTTTCTTTTCAACAAATTCCTACTTTGATTGAAAATTATCAACGTTTTTCACAATCTCAAAATGAAATGTTATCCTATCTTATAATAAAAATAATATTTTAAATAACATCCAATATTAATATTTTCTATAAAAGAAATAATATTTTAAATAACACTTTACAAAAAATATTAAAAAATATTAATGTTTCTGATAACAGTTTTGATTAACATATTAGACTGCATTTCATTATTCATCCCCTCAATCATCCTGTGTCCACATCTGGGATATGCATGCATCCAGCCATTCAAACTTTGCACGTCAGGTCGCTTTTCCTGTCTGTCCAATACCAAGAGATTTTCTCCGAATAATAAATGCCTTTTCTGTACCTCTGAATTCTCGAATTTCATCAAACATATTTTGGCATTTTTTTATTTAAAATAATTTAGATTTATTTTTAAAATAAGATAAATATTACGGTGAACATCGAAAATTAATCAAACATCTGTCTTTCAAAAAATTATCAGAACATTTGACGTCTTCAAGCTTTTCATCATCGGAGCATCGTAATTGGCGTCCCTCAGTTATACCTAACAAGAATACTATGATTGGCCTCCCAAAAACACCAAAGATGAAGACGTCGTATAAATATAAATTATGTTCATGTCTCTCACTAATATAAATATTACGAGTAAAAATGTTCAGATTTAGATGTAGAGTTATATTTCTACCGGTGAGAGACAGGAACATAATATATATTCCGAGAGAGATGATGGAACTCTCTTGAGTTAGAAAGAAGAAATTTCGTTTAAGATTGCTATCTTTCCCCTCAAACTATGATTCTAGGTATATATGGTGGTTGAGATTTTGATCGAAAGAAATTTCAGTAAATTTCACTGATACATTATTTGTCATAGACAAAGGTACATGGAAAGTGAGAGGGGCTCACCCCAATTTATCGTCGTCATAAATGTGATGGTAGTCATGTCCAAATCGACCATTGAATAATGTCCTCCTTATAAGTAAAATGTTTATTAGGGTTTGTTCAAGTGGTAAACAATTTAATATCGTTTAAATAATGTTTCGAGTTGGAATTCTTATATATATAGAAAATTCTCATTAGGAGACTCACCCACTAAAATCAGGTGTGCGACTCAAGACGGGATCTTGGAACCGGTACGACAACAAAAAAAACGTTTAGTATGTTGTTTTTCACGTTTTTTTTTCATATTGTCTGAAATGAACTGAAAATATGCAATTTACTTTCTTTTCTTCTCCTATAAATAGCCTAAGGATTCATTGGAACAAAGCAATTGCTGCAAAAAAAAAAATCAAGGTTTCCAGTTGGTTTTCTAACAACGTTTGTTTAGAGCAAAGATGGGTTCCAATTCTTTGGTGTCTTTCAACGTAAAAAGGTAAAATAGTAGTCTCGTTTTCTCAGTTATCTACAAATATATACTGACGGTGAAATTTCCGTCGGTGTATACCTAAAACTCCGTCACTATTAATCGATGGAAACTTACCGTCATCATTATAACATTTTTCGATAAACCTTAAGTATATTTTTGAAAAAATTAAAAGTTTAAATATAAAAAACGGACCAAAATTGTTAGTTTAGGTAAGAAATACTTAATTTACCCAATAATATATTTTGTATCTCGATTCTAACACCCGATTTCGAGAGATTAATTTAATCTTTGTTATAGGCTAGAAGGTAAAGTGGCATTAATAACAGGTGGAGCCAGTGGTATTGGCAAGAGCACGGCGCAACTTTTTGTTCAACATGGAGCCAAAGTTGTGATTGCAGACATTCAAGATGATCTCGGAAGCTCAATTTGTGAACAACTTGGGGGCCATGAAATCATCTCCTATGTTCACTGTGATGTTACGTGCGATTCAGATGTTAAAAAGGCCGTCGATTTAGCCGTTTCGAAGTACGGGAAACTCGACATCATGTTCAACAACGCCGGGATAGGTGATTTGGAGACTAGTATACTTGATATAAGCAATGAAAGATTCAAGAAAGTTATGGACACCAATGTGTACGGCGGGTTCTTAGGCGCTAAACATGCCGCCCGTGTCATGATCCCGGCGAAGAAAGGCTGCATTCTTTTCACCGCTAGTGTGTTGTCGGTGTTGGGCGGTTTCTCTGAGCATCCGTACGGCGGGTTCTTAGGCGCTAAACATGCCGCCCGTGTCATGATCCCGGCGAAGAAAGGCTGCATTCTTTTCACCGCTAGTGTGTTGTCGGTGTTGGGCGGTTTCTCTGAGCATCCGTATGTGGCGTCGAAGCACGCGGTGGTGGGGTTGGCTAAGAGTTTGTGTGTCGAGATGGGGCAGTATGGGATTAGGGTCAATTGCATTTCACCGCATGGAGTGGCGACGCCGTTGCTAACGAAAGGGACCGAGATAGATAAAGAAACGCTCGAAAGCTTGGTTTCGGAGGCCGGGGTCTTGAAAGGAAAGGTTTTGGAGGAGGAAGACGTAGCAGCGGCGGCGTTGTATTTAGCCAGCGATGAGTCGAAGTATTTGAGCGGCGTCAATTTGATGGTGGATGGAGGGTATAGCATCACTAACCCTTCGTTGCCAATGGCAGTCAAAAGCTTCATGTCTTAATTTCATGTTTTGATTAGAATTGACAAATTACGTAAACGTTTCGTGTTCGTGTTCGTGTTGTGTTTTAATATAATAATCGTATTCCATTCACAACACCATAATTTTTTTCACAACTCGTATGTGGCATCAAAGCATGCAATGGTGGGGTTGGCTAGGAACTTATGTGTTGAGATGAGGCAATATGGAACTAAATAAAAAAAATATATTAAGAATGCACAAATACCCTCATCTTCGTTTATTTGTTTTTAAATGTGTTCATATTCATTCCTTTAACGTTTGCGAGTATATTCGGTAACGTTCGTGAACATATTCGTTTAATCTTTGACAACCAAAATTCTCTTCTTATTTTATTTGCAAGCCAAAGAGAAATGGTGAAATCCCACTACTATTCTTTAAGTTCTTTAAACTTTACAGTTTCAACTCCAAAGTTCACCTTAATTCTATTTAGTATCTACTTTTACCAATATTTAAAGGCTTAATACCAAAATAAGTGCCCAAACTATATCGCTTTTCACGAATAGGTGCTTAAACTATTTTTTGATCATCTCAGTGTTTAACGTTACAAATGTTAGTTATCTATGGTAATTTCTCCCATTGAGTGACACGTGTCACGCTCTAGTGATTTTAAAATTTTTTTTTAAATTTTAAAAATATTATTATATTTATAAAAAAAAACCTAATTGCCCTTAAATTATAAAAGTCCCAAAATCCCTAAATTCTCAAAATCCTAACCTTAATTCGTTGCCGTTGCCCTTTCTGGCCACAACAACTACTACCGATGTAGTCTCTGCTATCCTCATAGTCATATGCCGCCGTAGTTGTCACCAATTAGCCGTCGAAATCGCGTGAGAATATTACAATTTTCGTCCTAGGGTTCATGGGTATGAAATGTCGATTCGTCGTCGATTGGTCACAATTTCATAGGATTTTTGGTCATCGGGGGGAGGTGAGGTCGGGTGGAGCTTCGTCGATAGCAAAGGGCGACAGTCGGCATGGGTTTAGAGGTTGAAATAAAGGTTTTCAATGTTTTGGGTTATTTCAAAATGTTTATTTTTTTAATATATATATATATAATTTTAAATTTAAATTTTTAAATAAATTTTTCAAAATTACCAAATTGTGACACATGTCACTTAACATGGGAAATTAACACCGTTGATGGATTGTGCACTTAAAGTGGTAACATTTGTAACGTTAGGCATTGAGATGAGTCAAAAAATACTTTAGGCACATATTCGTAAAAAACGATATAGTTTGAGCATTTATTTTAGTATTAAGCCATATTTAAAATATAAAAAAAGAAAAAAACCAACTAAATGAGCTTATAATAGAGTTTATAAACGATTCTATTCTTGAACATAAACGAACTTAACACATATTTGTTTGTGTTCATTTGTTTATTAAATAAACATAAAAAAATTTATTCAGTCTCGTTTATTTAGTTTAATAAATGAACATAAACAGATGTTATGAACGGTTCACAAACCATTCATCGAATGTTTTATTTATTTATATCCTTATTTGTGAATTGCTCTTTGGTGTTGGATGAAATAGGTTCATGAGGAGCAATGATACTGGATGAGATATTTGTTTCTTAAATACCAGAATTTATATATATATTTGAAAATTTGAATTCATTTTAACATATCAAATTGCACTATGAAGTCTAGTTCAGGTACTAATAAATATATTTACATTACATTTATTAATAGAGTTAATTGTACTATACATCCTCAAACTATGAATCTCATTTTAAATTGGTCCTTGAACTTTTGAACATTCTAATTCTATCCATAAATGATGACTCTCATTTTAAATCAGTCCCCAAAGTTTTGAACATTCTAAATCCATCCTCAAACTATAAGCCTCATTCTATATTGAACCCTAAACTTTTGAATATTCTCATTTTAACCCCAAATTTTTGAATGATTTAGGGGGAAGTTATTAGAATGTTCAAAAGTTTAAGGACCAATTTAGAATGATGGTCATAGTTTGGGGATGAATTTGAATTGTTCAAAAGTTTAAAGACGAGTTTAGAATGATGGTCATAATTTGAGGATGAATTTAGAATGTTTAAAAGTTTGAGAACCAATTTAAAATGAGAGATATAGTTTTAGGACGTATAGTGGGACAATTAACTCTTAATAATACCAAATTACAAGTAGAGTTGGATCTAGGGGTGTTCAAGGCTGTCATACCCTAAAAGTTTGAAATTTTTTAATATAGTTTCTTAAGAGTTCATACCTCGATATAAAATTTTACGTATGTTCTTTATAACGAGGCCATTATGTCCAAATGGAATCCAAGAACTTGGGAAAAAATATTTTACCTTCCCAAGGGAATGGAGTTTAAAAATAAGAAAATGCGATAAGATGATTTTAGGATCAGATTACTCATTTAGTTTATACTTCGATAATATTCGATCGAATTGAAAATATAGTTGCTTTAATCAAAGAATGGACTTTCTGCCTTTTGTTGGAAAACATTATGGCCTAAAACATTGAACCCTATAAATTGGAGGACTGAATTTAATTATCTGGAAAATGTTTACCCAAAATCCAATGCAGAAACTTTGGTCTATTTCCTATGAAACTTTGGTGCTTTTTACCACTATGCATTTACATTAGTCTGTTTCTGTCTGTCCAGATGATAGTAATTTAACGATAAATATTAAGATTCGAACTTTATATTTATTTACATCAATTGAAATGAACTCCAAAATCCTAGATGGGAAGGGCAGGTGCTTAGCCCCCTAATGGAAATTTTCCAGTTTAAGTGAATTGCTAAATTTTCCAAAAGTTAAACGTATTGGTAAAATCGTATTTTGGCCCTCAAAGAATAGTAAAACTCTAGTTTAATCCCTTTAAAACCATAAAATCATAAGTTAATATTACAATGATAGAGTCACATTCTCACTCTCCAAAACTTTATAATATAATTTCGAGCCTTCCAAAAGAAATATTTTTCACTGGTCCCAACTTCATCAAGGTCTGTTAGGTTAAAATTGTAATGAAATAATAACAATTAATGAAAAAAAAAGAACATAAATTTTACATGATTTATTTTTTTTGAAAGGAAGCATAATGACTAGAACAAAGAGATCGTACAACAAGAGTACAATGACACCGACAAATACTTGTTTAAACTTAGTTGAAGGAAAAAAGAGTGCTTATGGCAATATCATTAAGGGGACTTCTTAATAGTCACCGACAAATACAAGAGAGCTTTCTTAATAGTCACCGACAAATACAATAGAGCTTTCTTAATAGTCACCGACAAATAGGGTTGTAAATGAGACGAGACAGATCGTGAGTTACTCGAGATCGATTCGAGCTCGATAAATAATCGGATCGAATAGACTCGACTCGAGCTCGAGTTCTTAACGAGCCGAAACAAGTTACTTGATATTCGACTCGAAAAGCTTGTGAGAAGCTCGAAAATATAATATATTAAGATTTTATTTTTTTAAATAAATTATTAATAATATTAATATTTATGTATTGAATTTTTTAAAAAAATACAGTAAGATTTTTATATATTTAAGATTCAGGTTCGAGTTTGAGGCTTCAATCAAGTTAAGTTTAAGATTTTTTTTTTCATTTCGAGCCTTTTCGAGCTGCTCACAAGCTTCAGTTCAGAATTTCGAGTTTGAGTCGAGTTTGAAAATTTTAAGCTCGCGAGTTTTCGAGTCGAGTTGAGCTTCATTTCAAAGTTTTCGAGTCGAGCTCAACAATACTCGAGCTCGACTCGGCTCGTTTACACCCCTACCTACAAATACAAGAGAGTTTTTAAAATATATATATTAAACCCTAAAATATGGGAGTCTTCTCATCCATCATAGATTCTAATTTTTCTCTTAATTTGTTTTTCACCAAACAAGACTCATCTCGTCATAATAAAATTCAAATCATTAACACTAGGGGTGATTATCAAGCGAGTCGATCGCGAGTTAGGAAATATTCGACTTGTGCTCGTCAATTTTTTTTCTTGACTTGTGCTCATTAAGAAAACTCGTTGTTCGACTCGTTGTTTATTAAACTCGTTACTCGTAAAGTTCGATGCTCATTGCTCACCTCGTTGTGCTAAGCTCACCAAAATTTTATTTTATTTTCTTAACTATAGGTAAAATCTACTAATATTATATAAAACTTAATATAAACATAAATTAATAAATTTAAACAAAAAAAAATTATCAAAAGAGTATATGAAGTAATTTTAAAGTCTAAACTCCAAAATAAAAATCCACAAATATATTAAAATAATATAAAAGGTTTGATTTTTGAGTATATGAAACAATTTTTTTAAGATAACTATTAAATATTATATAAAAAATTAACGAGCTGCATGTGAACTTATCGAGTCTAGTTGAACTTTGCTCGACTCAATGCATTAAGGTCTCGAGTCAAGCTCGAGTTTAAATCGAGTCAAACCGAGTTGAGTTTTTACCAAGCTTTAAACGAGTTGAGTACGAGCTGCTCAAGAATTGCTCGACTCATTAAGCACCCCTAATTAACGCTAACAAAATCCGAGTTCTAGTATTGTTAGTAAAAGCAATTAGGCTTTTAATTTTCAAATTAACTTCCCATGCTGTAGATTGCATTAAACTTCCCCCAAAAGATCCAAATCACTGCAATAGAAAGCAATGAATGAAACCTTTCCTTCTTCATGATACAAAATAGTCACCGCCATTTACCATTTCCAGCATATTTCTTAAGTGCTTTTTTTCAAGCAATTATAAATAGAAATTTACTTTTGCAGTCTTCAAATTCAACCAATCTTTCAACTCCATTTAATTAAAAAGGCTTTTAATGGAACCCATCTCTCTCCATTTATAAATTTTGCCTTTCTTCTTCCTCAAAGCCCTACTTTCAATTGAAGTTCTTCATTGTTTCAGGCTTTCCTTCACCTTCAAGGTACCTTACATTCAATCTTTGGGTACGATTGAATCCTTTTTTGTGATGAAATAACTTGTTTTTCTGGGTTTTCTTGCATGCATGTTTCATTTCAGGTTTGTTTTTGTACGTAAAACTAGAGAAAACTAGCCAAAAAATATTGTCCCAAGCCTTTTTTCCTGCCACTCTCTACATCCACACACACATATATATATATATATATATGTATGTATGTATGTATGTATGTATGTATGTATATACATGCT